AAATAGCAAAAAGGATCCTACATTTCCAATCAAACTTGGATGTCAATTACTGGATTGTCGGGTCCAGACTTGATTATTTACAGACCGCCGTCATATAGCTGGAATATTGCTGAGTGCAGCGTTAAACAACAAACGGAGAAATGAAATCGTGTATTCCGAGTGTCCAAATGACTAATACATTGACAATATAAAAGAAGTTAGGTATATCAGTATCCAGACCAGACTATCTGTCAGTGTGAACATTAACATAATTTCACTCTATCGCAACTGTCTGTAACTGACTTGACATTATATGTGAACCTATATCTTCATTGACCGCTGCTTCCGTACGGAGAGATGACGTGTGTAGCTCCAGAATGTACAGTACGTGAAAACACTCACAACTCCCAATGAAGTGTACATTAGGTGATATACTCTGCGAAAAAAGTAACGCAGAAGAAGTAAAATCGTAAATATTGCCGTCATCAGTAAATATCTGACAGAATGTTGCCGACATCAGTAAATATCTGACAGAGTGCTGTCGACATCAGTGAATATCTGACAGTGTTGCTGACATCAGTAAATATCTGACAGTGTTGCTGACATCAGTAAATATCTGACAGTGTTGCTGACATCAGTAAATATCTGACAGTGTTGCCGACATCAGTAAATATCTGACAGTGTTGCCGATATCAGTAAATATCTGACAGTGTTGCCGACATCAGTAAATATCTGACAGTGTTGCTGACATCAGTAAATATCTGACAGTGTTGCCGACATCAGTAAATATCTGACAGTGTTGCCGACATCCATGCAACATTAATACCAAATTTGGTAGTTTCTGCAAGGATTGGGATTGATTTGTGTGGAAAGAATGAGGTACTGCAGACATTTGGTGAAAAGATGAAAAAAATGCAAAAACACTACCACGTTAGACAGCACGTGACCTTCCCATATCCGGTCGGCCACGTATCACAACTAGAGCACAGGACAGATTCATACGGCTACGGCACCTACTTCAAAGAACCACCACGGCCACCTCTACAACTGACAATACCAGGATTGCGTAGGATATCAGTCCAGACTGTCAGGAACCGTTTGCGCGAGGGTATTCGCGCTTGACGGACCTACATCGTCGGCGGCGACGTCAATGGTGTCAAGGTCACAGAGCATAGCCTCAACTGCGATGGAGACAAGTTTGGTTTAGTGACAGTCACGTTTTATGCTTCGCCTTGCGGATGGAAGACGTCGTGTTTACAGGTGTCACGGTGAATGTTATGCACGACACTGCATACAGGAAGTGGACAAATTTGGTGGTGGTGATGTGATAATGTGAGAGTTTAACGGCACAACATTACACGGTTGAGATTCTTCGGCCACAAGTCCTTCCCATTATGCTGCTAGTGAATGTAATTTTCCATCAAGACAACGCCGGATTTCACACGAGAAGACTGACAACAGCCTTTTTCAGGAATCACAACATCCAGGCCTTGCCACGGCCCTCCAGATTAAAACCCAATATGGGATGCACTGGATCAGCGACTGCGACCACGTCAGCAACAACCACATAACCCCCGACAGTTGGCACAAGAACTGCAGGCGGAGTGAGTGAACATTCCCCAGGCCACAATTCGGGATCTGACTGCTTCCATGGGACGACGATGCTAGTCAGTGTTTGACTCTCATGGTGGCCATACAAGATATTGAGAACAGATGATCTTCACCTTGAAACTCTAGTGTTCCGGGTGTGCCACATCGAACCTGGGTCAATGACAATGACGTTTGCCAATTTTAAACAATTGGTATCCATCTGTTGATTATTTATATGACATATATAATATAAGCCAGATAACAAGACATATAAAGCTCTTATATCGAGGCACTAGGGTATATCGCTAGTTCCCACATCTCTTCTCAAAGTACATACTTCTCGTTCTGTTTCTATGGCTCGCGTTTCTTTTGGCGGTGAGTATAGTTATCATGTGACTGACAGTGCTGAGTGAAACTGTATCCCTTCTTAACATAAGAGTTTATCTCACTACTGTAACATCGCACATAACTAGAATTTATGTAATGACATTGTTTTTTTTATTATTGATGAGTGGTAATTCTCTGGCGTTGACATTGTATATTTCAAGCATCATAAAACATCGCATATGGTTAAATGGACATTTCTTGTTACAAGGTCGGCAATATCACAGCTGTCATTGCAGACTGCAATGTGTGATCATATTTGATGGAGGTCAACAACATCACACCTGTCACTGCAGCCTGCGATGTGTTATCAGGCCTGGAGGTCAGCAATATCACAGCTGTCACTGCAGCCTGCAATGTGTGATCTGACCTGATGGAGGTCAGCAATATCACAGCTGTCACTGCTGCCTGCAAAGTGTGATCAGACCTGGAGGTCGGCAATATCACAGCTGTCACTGCTGCCTGCAATGTGTGATCAGACCTGATAGAGGTCAGCAATATCACAGCTGTCACTGCAGCCTGCAATGTGTGATCACATCTGATGGAGGTCAGCAATATCACAGCTGTCACTGCAGCCTGCAATGTGTGATCTGACCCGATGGAGGTCAGCAATATTACAGATGTCACTGCAGCCTGCAATGTGTGATCACACCTGAAGGTCAACAATATCACAGTTGTCACTGCAGCCTGCAATGTGTGATCTGACCCGATGGAGGTCAGCAATATTACAGATGTCACTGCAGCCTGCAATGTGTGATCTGACCTGATGGAGGTCAGCAATATCACAGCTGTCACTGCAGCCTGCAATGTGTGATCTGACCCGATGGAGGTCAGCAATATTACAGATGTCACTGCAGCCTGCAATGTGTGATCTGACCCGATGGAGGTCAGCAATATTACAGATGTCACTGCAGCCTGCAATGTGTGATCACACCTGAAGGTCAACAATATCACAGCTGTCACTGCAGCCTGCAATGTGTGATCTGACCTGAAGGAGGTCAGCAATATCACAGCTGTCACTGCAGCCTGCAATGTGTGATCTGAACTGAAGGAGGTCAGCAATATCACAGCTGTCACTGCAGCCTGCAATGTGTGATCTGAGCTGATGGAGGTCAGCAATATCACAGCTGTCACTGCAGCCTGCAATGTGTGATCTGACCTGAAGGTCAACAATATCACACCTGTCACTGCAGCCTGCAATGTGTGATCAGACCTGAAGGAGGTCAGCAATATCACAGCTGTCACTGCAGCCTGCAGTGTGTGATCAGACCTGATGGAGGTCAGCAATATCACAGCTGTCACTGCAGCCTGCAATGTGTAATCTGACCTGAAGAAGATCAGCAATATCACAGCTGTCACTGCAGCCTGCAATGTGTGATCAGACCTGAAGGAGGTCAGCAATATCACAGCTGTCACTGCAGCCTGCAATGTGTGATCTGACCTGGAGAAAATCAGCAATATCACACCTGTCACTGCAGCCTGCAATGTGTGATCAGACCTGAAGGAGGTCAGCAATATCACAGCTGTCACTGCAGCCTGCAATGTGTGATTAGACCTGATGGAGGTCAGCAATATCACAGCTGTCACTGCTGCCTGCAATGTGTGATCTGACCTGAAGAAGATCAGCAATATCACAGCTGTCACTGCAGCCTGCAATGTGTGATCTGAGCTGATGGAGGTCAGCAATATCACAGCTGTCACTGCAGCCTGCAATGTGTGATCAGACCTGATGGAGGTCAGCAATATCACACCTGTCACTGCAGCCTGCAATGTCTGATCTGACCTGAAGAAGATCAGCAATATCACAGCTGTCACTGCAGCCTGCAATGTGTGATCAGACCTGAAGGAGGTCAGCAATATCACAGCTGTCACTGCAGCCTGCAGTGTGTGATTAGACCTGATGGAGGTCAGCAATATCACAGCTGTCACTGCAGCCTGCAATGTGTGATCTGACCTGAAGAAGATCAGCAATATCACAGCTGTCACTGCAGCCTGCAATGTGTGATCAGACCTGATGGAGGTCAGCAATATCACAGCTGTCACTGCAGCCTGCAATGTGTGATCTGACCTGAAGAAGATCAGCAATATCACACCTGTCACTGCAGCCTGCAATGTGTGATCAGACCTGAAGGAGGTCAGCAATATCACAGCTGTCACTGCAGCCTGCAATGTGTGATCACACCTGAAGAAGATCAGCAATATCACAGCTGTCACTGCAGCCTGCAATGTGTGATCTGACCTGAAGAAGATCAGCAATATCACACCTGTCACTGCAGCCTGCAATGTGTGATCAGACCTGAAGGAGGGTCAGCAATATCACACCTGTCACTGCAGCCTGCAATGTGTGATCTGACCTGATGGAGGTCAGCAATATCACAGCTGTCACTGCAGCCTGCAATGTGTGATCAGACCTGATGGAGGTCAGCAATATCACAGCTGTCACTGCAGCCTGCAATGTGTGATCAGACCTGATGGAGGTCAGCAATATCAGAGCTGTCACTGCAGCCTGCAATGTGTGATCTGTCCCGATGGAGGTCAGCAATATCACAGCTGTCACTGCAGCCTGCAGTGTGTGATCTGACCTGATGGAGGTCAGCAATATCACAGCTGTCACTGCAGCCTGCAATGTGTGATCTGACCTGATGGAGGTCAACAATATCACAGCTGTCACTGCAGCCTGCAATGTGTGATCTGACCTGATGGAGGTCAGCAATATCACAGCTGTCACTGCAGCCTGCAATGTGTGATCTGACCTGATGGAGGTCAGCAATATCACAGCTGTCACTGCAGCCTGCAATGTGTGATCAGACCTGATGGAGGTCAGCAATATCACGGCTGTCACTGCAGTCTGCAATGTGTGATCTGACCTGAAGAAGGTCAGCAATATCACATCTGTTTGCATTGGCAATGGAAGTCATGCTTTAATGTCTATATGATTATATCTAAGGTTGTCCAATGCATGTGGGCCCTAGAAGTGGTCAGTCACAGCACTGCAGTCTCACGCACATGCGCAACACACATGATGACGATAAAAGAAAAACAATATGTCTGTGCAGTTTCCTTTATTTACACAGTAACATTTTCCGAAAATATGTAACACTGGTAACAACAACCCTGTAGTACCATGACAACGGTTGTCATGGTTACTGAAAGGGGACACATCTGTTTGGAGCCCACTGGCAGGTTTACATAGGGGTATATGTACAATTGGTGACATAAAGACACCTGTAGAAGGGGAACAGCATGCTCCCAGAGGTATGTTTAGGGGCTGGATAATAAGATACTTTGTACCATTACACTGTTAGAGAGTCAATAGGGATTGTCTCAAAAGTCTGCAATCAACAGCTAGCTTAAAAACATAAGCATAAAAATTTAAATCTAGATTTGACCACCCGACTATCATGAATATCCACCTACCTAAAACATGGAAAATAATCCTCAAATTGTGATAAGTCTTTCATTGTAGTGTTCAATGTAAATACAATTCACAATTCAGACAAGAATCAAAATTACCTGTTTTGTTAATTTATAATGCAGGAAATAAAAACTTGAGAATACAATGTTGATCACGCTGACCACACTGAATGCACTGGAGAAGAGTCAGAAATACAAACAGATATTTCTCAAATACATCAGTGATCACTAAATACACGTTACAAAAAGATCGAAACTAATGGGATTCCCAACCAGACACCTACTATATAAAAGGAATTTCAACTTTTGTGACAACCTCTACCATGCCCACTCTGCCTCCATCATCAAACATCAAGGAGGAGGCAGCTGAACCTATTGTCCAGCTCACACGCTGCTTGCACCATCTCGGGCAGATCATTGTCTGAGTTCTCAGAGCGCACATCAGACTTGGCATAGTCAGTCTTCTTCTTGTCTCCCTTCTTCTTCCCTTTCTTCTTGGAGTTTTTCTTCCCTGTTCCTGTTTCCTGAAAACAATCCTCCCCAATGTGTTTAGAAATGAAAGATTCCATCTGAGTGAAGACAGCTGACATGGGCGACTTCGGTCCGAGAATGTCACTGATGTAGGAAAGAGGTTTTGACCTTGACCTCAGTTCCTTGGTGAAGTTGTAGAGGAAGACCCCACTGAAGAAGGTGTGAGGTCGGGGATGTTCCAGAGGACTCTGCAGCAGCTGGTTGATATGGAGACCGTCCAGGAGACAGGCCTGGAACTGAGATGAACCATGAGTGATGGCAGACTCCACTGGGCTGCACTTGGTGACAGGAGCAAACTTGGCATGGTGTTTGTCAACCTTCTGTAGAAACTGTGTCAGCTGTGACTCGGTTGCCTTCTCACAAGCTGACCGTACACATATCTGTGAGATGGGATCTGCCTCTTGGCAGGACTGTTTGGACTGCGTCTTTGGATCACTTAATCCTTCATTAGATGTTGAACTTAAAATATCATCCTTTGAAACATCTTCTGTTTCTTGTTCATGTTTGTAATGTCTAGAATTCTGCTTAAGTTGACGAATTCTTGTCTTTGACTGTAGGAGTATTATGCACACAAGTAAGGCATGATAATGATACCTTGTCACTTTGGGTTGGGACTGAAGAATCCAGTACACAATCACACATGCAAGAAGCTGCAGAGGAGGTGACCACAGTTCTAGGAAAGTGTTTGGAACAGAAAGAACCTCAAGTATCATATCTACACGCTGCCCAGTAGAAATATTTCCAAGCTGAGATAGTCCTGGAAGTTGGCCAAAATTTGGTAAAGAGTTGACAGATTCAAGAAGAGTCTTCTTCAGGTTCTTACTCTCATCTCGCGTGTATTCCAAGATGTGTGTATCCTGGCTTGGACCAGAAAGATTATCAATCGGAGTACAAGAATCATCCTTCAGAAGAATGCCGTACATGACCTGTCTAATCCTTTCAGAAGTGGAGTACGAGGAAGCAACCTTCATGTTTTCCACCTGAGTCAGTAGAACATTCCGATGAAGCACCACAGTGTTGAGAAAAAACGGATGGATTGCACCAGATCGATGAGCACTGATGAACCAGGATGGAGCTAGGCTGCCATTATAACTCTTTATCTCATCAGTCCGCTGCTGCAACGCAGTGTTACTATCACTATCAAAGAAGTCGCTCAAACTGAAGGACTCCTCCAAGTCTATATAGAATCGGATACATCTGTGAATGAGTAGTCTTAGATTGTCTCTTGATTCTTTCGGAACATACGTGAGGATCTTCTCCACCGCATCTTCCCACGACTTGTAGTCCTCACACCAGCTCAATATGGCTGCCAGCCTTTGATGTCTCTGTGGCAGAGATTTAGACCAGGCTGATTTCAGGGTGTGGAAAAAGTTTTCAAATAATGACGACTCAATGAAGTCATTCCCTAGAAGGACTGCAATGACAGGCAATAAAGTTTTATCAAATCCTGGAAACTCTTTAGCAAAGTGGTCGATGTGATACAACTGGACAGACAAGCAGTGGTAGGTTTTGCCAGTTTGCGGGTCTTCTGGGGAGGCTAATCGAAAATCTACATAGTCAAACAGTATGAAACCACCTCTCAGGTCGAACACAAAAAAATCACTATCATTACTCATTACAGGGCAGTGCCAATGGTTGGCTAGCTTGACAATCTGACTATCAGCCTCAAAGTCACACACAATATACGGAACTCCCATGTCAACCAACACAGTCTTAAAGGTTTCGTATGCCAAGATTGGCAAAATCCTTCCTCTACCTCCATGAGAAATAAATCCTGCAAGGTGAATTCTGTTTTTGGCTCGAGTGAGTGTTGTTTTTAACTTTTTCCCATCTGCTTCATATCCTCCATCAAAGACGATAAATGGTTTAATGTCACATTCTTCAAACATCTGAAATATTTCTTTGACCTTTTTATAGAAGACATCATAGTCTCCTCCATAATGGTGTTTGACATGCAGATACTGGTACAGGAAGTGGTAGAAGTTGTTTCCATCAATCACAACTCTTGTGCAGTGCAGGTTGTGATCCTGAAGGAGTCGATTGTTGTTGCTGTCAACAAAACTTGTGAAGCCTCGGATGCCCATTATTGATTGGAAAGTGGCGTAGCTGAAATTATAGAACAGGACAATCCAAAGTATCAGTCATTGAACAGTCTATACACAATCTGAATAGCATCTTGAATGTATTATAGTGAAAAACGCGAACCAATATCAAATTAACAGTGGCAATTCTAACATGTTTCTTTCAACAACAATGACATGTTTCAAGTTTCCTATGACAAAACTTACAGGTGACATGTTTGTCTCTGGCTTGATGCCTTCAAGGGAGCACGGGTGGCCCAGTCGTCTAAGGAGCCGCGATTTGCTGTGCAGAGTTGCGTCCCTTGGGCACGCCAGAAACCTACGATTGTGGGTTCGAATCCCGGTTCGCCCCGATTATGTTTCTAGGTTTGTCAGCACCATACCCGTGCTCGTGGGTTTCACCGAAGTGGTAAACGTCTGAGACCTGCATCCCTTCGGGCTTTCCTCCCACATTAAGCTGACACACCGTGATATAACTGGAATACTGTTAAAAGCGGCGTAAAACCCAACTCACTCACTCACTTGATGCCTTCATGTTTAACCCATTCTAAAGTGTCAGTAAACTTTGATGACCTGACTAATACTAATTAATTATAATGCTACATTGAATAAACTATTATCAAAATATCCATAAGTGCTGTATGATAGACAAGACACATGACATGTTGAAACTCTTAATCTAATAATTTGGTTTTACAGAATCATGAAATACATCTGAATTAATTTTAAAGAATTTAAAATAAGAATTAATTTGAAACAGAAACATTTACATTTGCGGTTAACCTCTCAGTGTCTGATGAATAGAAGTTACCGCATGACGTATTGTAAGCTGATAAATAGACAGTAAAACTTGTATGTGGCTGTAGCCTAGAACCACAAACGGGATTCTAACGGATATTCTTATACCATTTAAAATGCCATTTAGAAGATCAATACGTACACAGAGACAAAACCTTGTCAGCGGCCATCCACATGTCACGCCTTTTCAGTCTTTCGGGAACCAGTGCTGAGAGTGCTCTCCCTTGAAACTCTTTAAATATATTGTCCACGAGTGAAATAGTTCTAGATACAATATTTCTGGACTAAGGAGCCTGAAAACGCAATACTTATATTTTTGTATTAATTAAAACGGTTTTATATGATTACATGTCGTTTGGTACGTGTAAAACAACATATTGTATTTGGTTTGAGATTTACCTGAAATCCAACATGGCGGCAAAATTAAACAATCTCAGCATGTTGTCGGAATCGTGAAATGAAATGTACACTTGTGATTACTTTGTTGACATATCGTGTATCGCGCGGCTGGATTCACGTATGCACACATTTTCTTTTCTTCTATCATAGCTCCTATCGTATGTTTCTTCAAGTAAAATCTGGATTCCTGCTTTATCCGCATACCCTTTGATCATCATCATCTTCATGATTAAATGAACATGAACGCGTGCAGGTTACGTCTCAACTGCCAAGTTCCGTATTTTTTCATTCGGAGTGGCTAGTATGGCATTGTGGCTGCAACACAAGAATATTTGAACAATTGACTTTGCAACGCACATTGAAGCTGTTCATGACCGAACCACGGAATTGATAGTGTAAAAGAAAACCGTTATCGCAAAGTCAATTTGTTAGAAGCTTCACATCGTACTCATTAATCTCTGTTGTCGTTACAAAACTGTAGGTACGACCCTGCTTGGTAACACTTGATATCATATTATCATGATTTTTATTGATGTAGATTTTTTGTTGTGCTTTTGTATAAAACGTGGTAAAAGATGTCAAAGAAAAAACTGTAAAAATCAATGCCCAGTTGTGAAGTGAGACCAATTACACATGAACTGGGTCTAAATTGTTACTCTTTTTCTTCTTCTTTTTGTGCTGAGATTAAGAAAATGCACCTCAAACTTTGCAAATTATGTTACTTATCATGCTAAATGTTGAGGAACCATATTATCACGTGCTGGAGATAAGGGGGAGATAATTTTGATTCAGTTTCCTCAGTGAAATTATCTCCCTTTGCTCAACAAGAACTTCAGGTTTGACAGGAATTAATTTCATACACAAAATCCTTGATGAAATGTCAACAAAGATTTTTATGTGTTCACACTTTGTAGAAATAAAAACTAGTCAGCATCCCTAGAACATTTGCCTGATTGAGTCTGGAAGTCAAATGTTATCTACTAGTACACAGCTTGATGTCTTGCTTCAGTGAATAAATTCAGTTAAGATATTCATGACTGTATTTTTACTCCCAGATTTGTCCAAGTGACCATGTGGAAGTACTGTGTCCTTGGCCTAGTAGCAAGACTGGTTCTCTTGCTGTACGGAGAATGGCAGGACCGCACTATGGAGGTCAAATTTACAGACGTTGACTACTTTGTCTTTGACGATGCAGCATCTTTTGTTATTAAGGTAATATTTATTTAAAAAACACCATTAAGAAGTACTTATGAAGTACTAATAGATCTGATGATGTGAAAAGTTCAAGAATGGCTTGTGTAAGGAAGAAACAAGGCTAGTTGTCAGATATTTGTACTTGTTTGATAATTGTCATTCCATTATTCTCAACATTTTCAGTTGGCCAAGAGAAAACCTGATCCTACTCATCCTTTAGCATATTGAGAGTATGCTAGACTTGGCTGATTCTTAAACAAAGAAACTGACCTGGTTCGACTTTGTCAATGAAGAAATCATATTTGCATGTCATGAGTGATCTCCCTTGGACCATACATATTTTTTCTTCCTATTTCAGGGACAATCCCCTTATGACCGAGCCACTTACCGCTACACCCCACTGTTAGCCTTCATGCTTCTACCAAACAAATGGTTTCACAGCTTCGGGAAAATCCTTTTCATCATATTTGATGTGATGACAGGGGCTCTGACATATTCCCTTGTTTCCTCCAAGGGTCATAGTCACAAGACTGCAGTGGTTTGCGCCTGTCTCTGGTTGTTCAACCCCCTCCCAATGGCTGTGTCTAGTCGAGGAAATGCAGAGAGTATCATGTCCTTTCTAGTGCTTGCAACTCTTCAGCTGATAGAAAACCGCCACGTTTTCATGTCTGCAGTGTCATATGCTTTAGCAGTTCACTTTAAGATATATCCCATAACATATGCACTGCCATTGTACTTACTATTGGGGAAGGATTTTGAGAAGGACAAGATTCAGAGGACAGCAAGATCAAAATTTACTCAGCTGAAGAAAAGGACAAGAGAGGATGTATTAGTCTGGAGGGAAGTATTACTGGACTTAATCCCCAATATCAACAGACTGGTGTTTATGTTGGTGGGGGCTACAGTGCTGGGAGGACTCACTGCAGTATTCTATGCATGGTAGGTTATGTAGCCCGTTTATGGTTCATGTCTCCATACTGTATCGAGTGATATAAGATAGCTAAAAATCAATGAAGAGCAAAGCAATGTTTATTTGACGATAATACATTGTTTTATCATGACGTCATTTCTGGAGGTTCGAATATGCGCTCGCAACTTGATGACGTCATGTTTTGGACAACTTATTGTTAGCCCTTAGGGCAGGGTCTAGTGAGTTAGATGTAACTGTGGTACGCAGATAAACGCTGTTGCCGAACAATCCCATCCAAAATTGGGAGAGATATGACAATCAGTAATAGGAAAAAAAGGGAAAAAATCGATGTGAGGATTGTGAGAATATGCGTGAAATACCAAACTTAACCCACCTGTTCATAAATAGACTTGTCCGACATTGACAAGGTCGATTTCTATTCTGCGGGAGTCATCGTTGTTAAAATTAACTATTTTTAAATCTTGCACATTTTATAAACATCCTTTAAGTGGCTGTACATAATGTTGATATCTCATATTAGAAAACAACGATCAGTGCTGTGTTTTATTGTACGATAAACAACCCCGACTCCCATATATTTATATATGCTATCTACGGGTTGAAAGTGTTATTGGTTTTAACGTGTTTAGTTATTCAAACCTTTTTACATACCATGGAAAGATTAATTGCACCCATTTTCTGTTTTTGTGAGTGTTGTATTTTGCATCCATTAAACCCATGCAAATATTTCATGTTTATCTTGAAAATGAACCAGTGGATTAGTTGGTAGAATTTGACATAGAATCTCTGCAAGTAAACATAACTAGTAATATTAATCACGCTCCTTGTTGAGACTGTCCGCCAACCACTGTTGTTCATTGTGTCTCTGTGTGCAGGTATGGCTGGCAGTTCCTGTACGAGACCTACCTGTATCATGTGTTTCGGCAAGATACACGCCACAACTTCTCCCCATACTTTTACATGCTGTATCTGATGGGCGTGGCTCACACGTCCACATGGATCAAGATCCTCGCCTTCCTGCCACAGTGTCTTCTCATCCTCACATTCGCCATCAAGTACTATAGAGACCCACCCTTCTGCTGGTTCCTCATTACATTTGCTTTTGTAGCTCTCAATAAAGTGTGTACGTCACAGGTGAGAAGTCTTTCACAAGTGTTTACCATTTGTTTTAATACTTATTAACTTAACAGTCATCATTAGGACACACATGGAAAGATACTACTGCATCTTTGTTATAAAATAATTTAGCAACATATATTAACAAATCAGTAGTTTTAAAAAGTTGGATTAATGCTGTTTTATAATAATCATAAAAGGTTTATAGAATATCTCTAAACATGTTTATCAAAGAATTGTTTTGCTTTTTTTTTGTAAACATTTGTAGATATGACCTTTAGATAAATGAAAGTACATGTGTGAAGAAATAATAGTTGGCACTGAGGTCAGAATTGTAGCCTAGTGGTTAAAGAGTTGATTGTTCACACCAAAGACCGGGTTCAATTCCCCACAAGGGTACCGGTACTATGTGCGAAACCCATTCTGGTGTTCCTCGTGATTTAACTCAAATAATGCTATAAAAAACAGCATGAAAACATACGCTCTCCTACACTGCTGTATGATTTAAAGAGTTCCATCACCTGTTGACAATGACTGACTACACCCTGCTGTGTCTCGTTTCAGTACTTCCTGTGGTACCTGTGTCTGGTGCCCCTCATTCTCCCCTCCATCAACATCTCCGTGTCCCGGGGAGTCATGCTGACCTCTCTCTGGTTCCTCGGCCAGGTATTATCATCTATTCTTACTCAACCTCTTCAAGAACCTCATTCAGTTTTGTTGGGATTTTGGCCTCCCGCCATGAAGTGGAAGGAGATATAGGAATGGGTGCCTACCATCCATCTGTCACATTTCGTTTCTGGGGCGGAACTCAAAAGCCATGAGAGATATCTTAAGCAAAATTTATTTTTCGAGTTTCCATGGCAGCGACTTTGACTTAGACTGAAAACATGGAAAATGGCGGTAGTGCTCCTTTCCGGAGCAGATCTTGAAAACCGTACAATATTTCGTCACCAAACTTGGCACATAGATAGGTCTGGCAGTGAACTGGTGCCTTTAATAATGTGGGATATTTGAAAAATTTATTTTCGATTTTCCATGGCAGCGACTGAAAATGGCGGTATTTCCCGTTTCCAGAGATAATCTTGAAACCCATACAATATTTCTTGCCCTGCACACAACCACACGTCATATTGGCGGGGGATATGAGTATTTCATGCTTGTTTATTATGTAGAAGAATCAATGTGACACATTATGTGACATGCATTTAATAATGGCACTTATTGCTAAGTGTATGAATTATGAAATACTAAAAGAACATTTTTCAAACTCTATTGTTTGTTCACTATTTCCAGAATGGTTAACCTTGTTAATACATAGTATTAATACTCAATAGCCTTTGTGACCACCCAGTCTTCAGTTTCATCAACTCTATTTGATTAGAAGAATATTTGCAATACTGAATAAGTCATCTCTGAATCATCTTTGTGGAAAAATTATATTTTCAGGGTATTTGGCTTTTACCAGCTTACTACCTGGAGTTTGAAGGTGTCAACACGTTCCTGTACATCTGGGGCGCTGGACTGGCATTCTTCACCATCAACAGCTACATCCTCTACATTCTCATCACCAACTACAGGCCGGTGTACAGTCAAAGCACGAGCAAAGCCAAACTTACAATGAAAGTACAATGATTTCATCAAATTGTTGTAACCATGGTAACCTCAGCCTGCTTGTCAAGTACTCAGATGAAAATACTGCAGACACTGTTGTATGTTTCTCTGTGTTAAGTGTGTTACAGATCAATCAAACAGTTAATTATTACCCTAACTACACTAAAGGGACTGATTACAATAAGTGTCACTTGCTCGCTTCAATAAAGTGACACCTTTTTATCACGGCATTCTGGATTTCAGTTGACCTTAAAATAAGATGGTGTTTAAACATTTCAAAGGTAGGGCTACTGGCATGATCCATTCTAGATGACTGGCATTAATTAGGTGATGGGTTAGTATGGGTATGGGTTCATTGTTGTTTAAAAAAGTACATTGTGCCCATGTACAGTACCAGGTATTAACATTGATAGTGACAAATATTTCTCTCTCTCTCTCGCACACACACACACACACACACACACACACACACACACACACACAGAGGGTTAGAACTAAACTGAAAGGCTTCACTAGGCCCAGTAAAGATAAAATGCGTTTGTTAAAACAATGGGGACATTGCAAAATTTGAACTAGCCCACAGGAACTTGTACTAGCCCCGGTCTAGCGGGCTAGTGTTAATTTCTAACGCTGGGTTGAAATCAATTCCCTAGAGCTGTTAATTCGTTGCACAGAATTTAATTAAGAAATATATGTTAAAGCTGTCATGACTTTTGAAATAGATTTTGAAATAGTTTGTTATGACTGTTGGTACTTTATATCCATGTTTATTATGACCATGATCAACTGTATTGTCTGATCAGCACTTGGAGGAATAACTCACGGACAGCAGTTAGATCAACTCTGAACATGATGAACCCTGTTCGAATGAAAATAACAACCCATATATGCCCTTCTGTATGTCTGGGGTTTGCGTGACAGATGACCCATCCCACCTGCTTCTAGGCTTTTGTTCTGTGTTTCGATTTAGAGTTCAGTTAACTGATAACTGTATTGAACTTTAATATTGTTATTTAATATGTTTTATAACATTATTTGTGTTATTATATATACGTATATTATTAATCACTATTTATTTTACTTGTTAAATTTGTGTTTGTATGTTTTGTGTCTTTATCGTAATGTCACCATTTTCATGTTAAGCATTATTAAGTTATGTTTCTTTCCAGTTAGGAATAAAGATGACAGAAATTAAATAAAATTTGAATACAACATTGCAATTTTGATCTTTCTTTGGAGAGAAGTTGTTACATCCATAATGTTGTTTGCTTGTTTGTTAAAACCTCACTCATCTATGTCCCAGCTGGACCAAAGATACCAGTGAATGCTATATGAACAACGATCCACGCTGTCCTCGAATGCTGACTCACAGACCATTTGGTCACCTCTTGCAGCCTGGGAAGCTTGCTGGGGATCCGTTCTAACCTGGAATCCACACAGTGCAGATGCATAATGGCACAATGTTATTCAATGATATTCAAAATCACTCCATTTACAACTATACATGTATATTAATAAAAGTGACAAAACCTTTCCCAAAATTATACGAAATCTTCTAAAAGCAGAGTCCATTGTTAGATTCCACCTATCATGAACATGAGTTTATGAATCACTATCAAACAGAGATGGTACCACGTGTTTGTGAAAAGGTGAGCGTATCCTACCCCACCACAAACACGTGCAAAGGCATGTCAATTGTTCACCTGACAAAATATGGGAACATATGGTTCAAGCCAAAGTAGGGGATTGCATTGGACATAATTTTTTTGTCACTGATGTGTCTTCTATATCTATGTCTTAGTATAACTGATATCAATAAGTAATACAATTATACAATTATTCTAAACTATGAATCAGCCTCATTGTAGCTCTATGTTAGCTAGCTAAAGTTAAAAATGTACAACCTATTGCAATGAGCAATCAAAAACGAATGTGATTTCCAATTGTGGAATTCGATTGAGCCCAGATTGTACATGCTGTATGTCTCAGTCCAACAGTCCGTCGGTATTCTCGTAATTAAAACATATAAATGAACACCCAGAACCTTCAAGTAAAATATGAATATATTTATTCAGTAACCATGGTAACTGGTACCAACAATCATCTATAACATTCAAATAAGATCAATGCAAAAACTATTGGGTATTCATTACACTGACTGCCAACAATCCAGATACATGTTATTTGTGTTAGACACTGATATAAAGTCATCCCTCTCTGTCGCCACTGTTGTAATCTGCTGCAGTTTCCAGACACTACAGTCTCCAGCCTCATGGTTTCATCATCATGCCAACACACCCTACAGGAAGCTCTGATGCTCTCAGTGTTGCTATTGTGTTCGCTAGAATACAACAGTGGAATTTCCTGTGCATCATGTTTCCATGTGTGATGTATTAGATCAGTGCTTTAACTATTGATCAACAAAAAATAAAGATGAATGTTCTTTGTCACCTGTCAGCAGTTTGTGCAAGTTCTCCTGTAATGTTGGTATGTGTCCAGTGCACACACCTCATGGTATCTCTCAAGTTCATCTGTCATCGATCTTATGGCGTTTTGTTTTCTGTTACTTGTTTATCCTAAGAAATAGGTCTATATGTTTTTTCATTAATGCCAGGCCTGATAATGACACTCTTGAATTAAATATCACACATTTGTAACTGCCTGACTCAGAAAAGTGGTATTTGCTCACAGACAAGTGGTATTTGCTCACAGACAAGTAAGTCTCCTGCAAATACTATTGATAGCTGCACCAGTTCTCCGGGACATTCTTCAATGGTAAATGCTGTACAATTCTGACCTGCCAGTCATATTTCCAAAAGAACAAGAAATTAAATGTTTATTTATATCTCTTTCTATCAACCCTATATTTGTTAAAAAAATACAGCAGAAAGATTTAATTGGAGGTTTTAATTTCATTGTATATCTTTATCTCAACCACCACCCAAATGACATAAAAGAAATGTCTCAGAATCATATACTAAAAGTCCCATAGAGGATCCAGCATGGCAAATGACATAAAAGAAATGCCTCGAATGTGGAAGAAGAGACAGATTCGACCGACATACATTACACATGGAAGTGTCGGCAATACTTGGACATTATCAACAGGGCACTCTACAAGTTAGTGAGTTAATAAAAAAAACATACAACTTTATGATCAAGCTAGAGTGATCACTCCAGCTTGACAACGGTGTTAGAATATACATGGAAATGCTGCTAGATGAAATAAACAGGAAATTGTTTTCTTAGCAGGGTCATACAGTCATCTAATATTCAACTCTGAAGCGTTCCATAATCAACAGAAACAGTTAGTGTTTAGTATGTTAACAACTGGTGGAACCTCTCCACAGGCAGTATGTCGTGCACTGACATGGTATGTATACTACTCAAAAGAAATTAAAGAACACATTTCTTCATGACGAGTTAATCTGTAATGAAAAGAGTCAGGTGTTGTTTAACCTTTTTTGAGTAGTACATGCAGAGAGACCATGCTACACTGCCTGGTGGCTGTTTTCCAGTCCAGGACAAGCGAAATGTGACGCACTTCTTGAATAAATAGGCTGAACATTAACGGCTTGATCGGTAAGTGTTAGTCAGCAGACAAAAGTGTTTCAACTCCATCTGCTAGGACTGGCAATCAGCCCAAGGATGGCACCCAACACAGCCTCTTGCTGCAACACTACATCCAGTATTTGAAAACACCAGGAAGTCTCCCCATGGACGTAACTGGCTTTCTTCAACTCGAGTTCCCTGGGAGGAGCAGTTAAACACAGGGACGACTACTTCAGGAATATCATGCAATGTGCTGCCTGTGAGTCGTGTAATCCACACACCTGCAGTTCAATATGGAGTAGTTTTCAATAGGGATGTAGTGATACACTTCGTGGCAATACAATACAATACACTATAATTCAATACAAAGGGTACAATGGATGTACATTGTACATCGATGATGGTGAGAGGGAGCTGTTCGTAAGTTTCATGTCTGATAAAAATCTTCATTCTGTAAGTTTGGGTGGGGGTTAACATGTTGGCAGTTTCATACAGCACAATCAGTTTTACAGTTCAAGGCAATAAATAACAGTCAACAGGTACACTGTGGGTCCAATACAAGGAAGGTTATTCCAGTTGAAAGATCTTCCTTCTGTTGGGCTATGTGTTGATGACATATATAATAATAATAATTTATGTAGGGATACTTAATAGCCGTGAAATCAGGTCCCCTGAAGCACTTGTTAAATCATCATCATCATTATCAACTCTGATATGTTTTTCTTTCTCAAATACATTTGAGGATGGGAGATTGGTAGAGGGGCAGGGGTATATCTCAAAATATGGAATTCAGGTTTCCATCACAAATAAAGTTTGTGAAATACTCCCTTTGCTCAAAATAATTAACAAACATGAAAAACTCAACACTCACAGATGGCATTATCAGTGGGAATGACAGGAGACCCTGACAATATATATTTTGTAAACCTGAGTTAATCAAACTGAGACATTCTTGAAGAGACAGCATTTCACAACTGTCTATACCACTACCATGATATGATACTGGTATGCTGGCATACCAAAACTGTCACAAATCAATACAGCCTTGTGTGAACACTGAACAGGTAGTAAAGACTGGTATGCTGGCATAACAAAACTGTCACGAATCAATACAACCCTGTGTGAACACTGAACAACTATTAAACACTGGTATCTCTCTGGTGATGCTAGACATTGACTTTAAGTTCTTGTATCTAATAAGAAATAGTAAAAAATAAAATACCTCTTGGATAAATTCTTTTATAAATTTGAGTAAAAATAACAATAAATTACATTTTGGCCTTAAATGTTAAGTTTTATTATACGCATATTAATAATGCTCAGTTATGAAGCTGGCTCCAAAAAAAGGGCCCCATAAATAAGCCAATCAAAGACCAGACTGCGTTCATGGAAGGAAGCATCCAGGTGAGCTACAGATGCTCAGGATGCAGGGAATACTACAGAAGACAAAACTGATGTCAAAAAGGTGACATGAGATCAAACTGTGACTATCTACATAACACAGAAGACCAGACTCAATTACTCTATTCTTTTACGGATCTTCTTGGACAATATGCAAGGCGAGAAGTCTAACATACATACAGTGGAAACCTGTTGATCCAGACAATACAGCTCCCAGTGAACAAATGTCTGGATTAAAGAGTCCTTGTCACGAAAAACATTCTTTGTATGTATGTAGTCTGTGCCAAAAACCTTTGAGTCTGCAACCAAGCTTGACTGTAAGCATCACTTTCTGTAAATTGTTATAATTGGACTATTACTGGCTAAGCTTACGAACGAACAGAATGTTTCTAGACTGGAGGTACGTGGATACAGGGTTTCACAGTACAAGTAGCTGGGGTTGATCTGAGGTAATTTCCAAAAGAAAACCCTTGAAATAATAGTTTTACCAATATTCAACCACAGATGGGGAATAAACATATGTCCAATTTTGCCTTATTTTACTTTTTCCAAAACTTGGCTGCATTTGGCCATAAAACAATAAAATAATTTGGTCTGGCCCTAATATCATATATAAAGTGACCCAAGCATGCATACTGCCAACAATATTGTCCTGATGTAATGTGCCCCAAAATGGACAATACAATGCTTAAGTGCTCATAATGCTTTGGAACATTTCTCAAAGTACCAAAATTTCACTTTCATTTTCCTATAACAAAATATATATTCTTAAATTGCTATGGAAACCAAACTCCATGATAGTGTTTTTTCAGTCTCTGTATCTGTCTACAGTATACAGGAATTGAGCATTCAGACAAAGGCACTATATGGGATAGATATATATACAACACCTCATTCTGCAATAGTACAGCTACTAGTATATCACAGCAGTCGGGGAGTAACCACTGACAATCAGACACCTGGTAGTGGTAAACAGGACGCTATGGCCCAGCTGACACATTGCAACCACACAGCCACTCATCTTACATAAGCTAGGTGTACTGGCGAGAAATATTATGCTGAAAAATCTAACAAGACAGAGATCGATGTTGTAACATAATCCATACCAAGCACAACACAAAGAAATATATATCTTGTTTATAATTACAAAAATCCCGGAACAGCCTGAATAAGAAATATCAAATGTCACAATATCAAAATCCATACTTATCTTGACAATAAATGAAAAAAAACTAAATAAGCAAACTTGAAACATTCCTAGGCTATCTCAAAACTTTCATAGAAACAAATTTTATGATGTGTTTCTGACTACTGAAGGAATAACAGTGTAATATAAATATGCACACATATAAAATTGGACTGACGTTTAGAATGTAGTAAGCAATGCATAAATACTTTAGCTTCAAAATATTTAATTACCTTATACAAATAATAAGAACAACAACAGATTTGAAGAAATCTCTATTTTCTATATTACCGTATTTTCTTGAGTATAGTGCGCACTTTTTTTCGAAAAAACACAGCTGTGTAGAAGGGGGTGCGCATTATACACGAATTATGAGTTTGGATGTTTTTTCCATATATATATCCAATACTTCAATTTCTTATCTACATCAGCATCCAGTGAGCGGCAAGTTCTGCCTCACGAGTTGCATCGACAGAGAAGCCATGTAAGCCCAGGTGATACCGTTCCCCGTGAACTTTTCCCGATTAACAATCTGTGTTTCAGAGTAATATCATTTGCGAACATATTTTCTTTGTTGTTTTTTTCTTTGTCTGTTTAATACCATGCTCAGCAATATTCCAGCTACATGATGGTAATCGAGTCTGTGCCAGACAATCCAGTGATTGACATCATGAGCATCAATCTACACAATAGGGATACAATGACAAGCATCAACCAAGTCAGCAATCCCATCAGTCACCTCATGCAACAAGCATGGGTTGCTGGAGACAAATTCTAACCTAGATCTTCACGGGGTTAGCAAAAGGGTACATGCTCAATCATCCAGAAAGCAGGGTGTGTGGACTAACAAGGTTTCTTTGTAACAAACTTGTGTCAAGCAGTGGCAGTAATACGTGAAATGTGGTTCTCAAAACAAGGGTGCACTTATTGGAGCGGAGAGTATCATACCGTATTTCCTCTGTTAAAAGCCAGCCTCTATTGCAGCCAATGTTTACAGATAAGATGACCAAGCTAATTATTTCTCCCCATTACAATTGAATGCCATAAGGTTTTTAAACCAAGCCGACATAGAATCAATAAGGTCTGGCACTCTGCCTCTGATATGAACGAGTGAGTGAGTTCGACTTAACGTCACTTTGAACAGCTTTGCAGTCATATGATGGCATGTCAGCTTGATGCGGAGGAAAGCCGTAAGCGGTAAGTTATGAGGTCTTAGATGTTTACCATTTAGGTGAAACCGATGAGCATGGGTTGGGTGCTGACAAACCTAGAAACATAAATAGGACAAACCGTGATTCAAACCCACAATGACAGATTTCTGGCATGCTTCAGGGACGCAACTCAGCACAGCAAAGAGAATGACCTTTATAAGACAACTAGACACCTTCTCCTCAGCCTCTGATACAAGCCGGGTCTGATAGTAAAGTTAATATGGGCCCAGTCTCTTAACAGAGGAAATACGGTACTCTGAGTATGGAAAATATTTTCCTACTGGCTTTCCCCCATTAGAGAAAGCAGCTCATTGGTCAATTCCAGTCGGACACCCTTCCATGTAAAATGAGTCGGAGGATTAGTTTCCCCTTTTTCAAACTCAAAGTCTCGACTTAATTCGATGGCAAGGCTGGATTTGATCAATCCTACGCCCCCAATTACTGGGGCTGCAGGATGGTAGACTCTCCCACTGGAAGGTAGCATGCATACTTTCTCTGGTTCAAAGCGCACAGTCAGTAACTCTCCAGCACCCCCATAGGAGAGGAGGCTGGACCCATCTGCTTGTCGGGAAGGGAGGATTTTGGTGTAGACTACAGGTTTGTCATCACATCGAATGAAGTTCCTCTCTCGACCACACGGGGACAGATAAGGAAATTCCTCTCGGAAGCGATCAGTCTCGTTCATCTTCAGCCGAGAGAAGAAGAATGCAAGAAAGGCCTTCTCTGGAAAAGAAGATGCTGTAGTTGGTTTGATAAAGTAATATATCATTAATATGAGTACACTTCCAGCGTATGCAACACACTGATGACTGAGTTGCATAAAACTAAATGAAGTTACCTGCAAGTGGTGTTTGCCCTTGGGGAAACTTGGAGGCCCAAATTCAATCCCATAGTAGTTAATGACAAGTAAAATTACAAGGTTCAATTACCAAGAGATGGTTAAAGGTATCCTTTTGAATTTTTAAACCAACCCCTATGAAGCCAACTTTCAAGTAAAATTTGCATCTTTAAACATAGCACAAAAAAGGAAAACAGAATGAATTTCCTGATATTCCACCATTGTCCTTCTTGAGGCCAACACAACAACTGAGTTTCAACACTTCGGTTGAAGTCAAACATATGATTCATCCAAACTTAGAACATCAAAAACTGCTACAAGATTCAGTAATAGCTGACATTATGGTGAAGGTCAGAGAAAAACATACCTTTGAAACAGGAAGTGAAATTCTTCATTTTGGAATCATCCAGGAAAAGCTACAAAACAACATCAATCACATTGACCACAACAAATATAGTATCATATTGTCCCTTTCCATAGTAATGAGAGGGTGAACAAATATAGTTTCATATTGTCCCTTTCCATAGTAATGAGAGGGGTGAACAAATATAGTTTCATATTATCCCTTTCCATAGTAATGAGAGTAATGAACAAATATAGTTTCATATTGTCCCTTTCCATAGTAATGAGAGGGTGAACATATATAGTTTCCATAGTAATGAGAGGGGTGAACAAATATAGTTTCATATTGTCCCTTTCCATAGTAATGAGAGGGGTGAACAAATATAGTTTCATATTATCCCTTTCCATAGTAATGAGAGTGATGAACAAATATAGTTTCATATTGTCCTTTTCCATAGTAATGAGAAGGGTGAACAAATATAGTTTCATATTGTCTCTTTCCATCATAATGAGAGGGGTGAACAAATATAGTTTCATATTGTCTCTTTCCATAGTAATGAGAGGGTGAACAAATATAGTTTCATAGTGTCCCTTTCCATAGTAATGAGAGTGATGAACAAATATAGTTTCATATTGTCCCTTTCCATAGTAATAAGAGTGGTGAACAAATATAGTTTCATATTGTCCCTTTCCATAGTAATGAGAGTGATGAACAAATATAGTTTCATATTGTCCTTTTCCAAAGTAATGAGAGGGTGAACAAATATAGTTTCATATTGTCCTTTTCCATAGTCACGAGAGGGGTGAACAAATATAGTTTCATATTGTCCCTTTCCATAGTAATGAGAGTGATGAACAAATATAGTTTCATATTGTCCTTTTCCATAGTAATGAGAGGGGTGAACAAATATAGTTTCATATTGTCCCTTTCCATAGTAATGAGAGGGTGAACAAATATAGTTTCATATTGTCCCTTTCCACAGTAATAAGAGTAGTAAACAAATATAGTTTCATATTGTCCTTTTCCATAGTAATGAGAGTCGAACAAATATAGTTTCATATTGTCCCTTTCCATAGTAATAAGAGTGGTGAACAAATATAGTTTCATATTGTCCCTTTCCATAGTAATGAAAGTGGTGAACAAATATCGTTTCATATTGTCTCTTTCCATAGTAATGAAAGTGGTGAACTAATATAGTTTCATATCGTCCCTTTCCATAGTAATAAGAGTGGTGAACAAATATAGTTTCATATTGTCCCTTTCCATAGTAATGAAAGTGGTGAACAAATATCGTTTCATATTGTCTCTTTCCATAGTAATGAAAGTGGTGAACTAATATAGTTTCATATTGTCCCTTTCCATAGTAATAAGAGTGGTGAAAAAATATAGTTTCATATTGTCCCTTTCCATAGTAATGAAAGTGGTGAACTAATATAGTTTCATATTGTCCCTTTCCATAGTAATAAGAGTGGTGAACAAATATAGTTTCATATTGTCCCTTTCCATAGTAATGAGAGTGATGAACAAATATAGTTTCATATTGTCCTTTTCCATAGTAATGAGAGGGTGAACAAATATAGTTTCATATTGTCGTTTTCCATAGTCATGAGAGGGGTTAACAAATATAGTTTCATATTGTCCCTTTCCATAGTAATGAGAGTGATGAACAAATATAGTTTCATATTGTCCTTTTCCATAGTAATGAGAGGGGTGAACAAATATAGTTTCATATTGTCCCTTTCCATAGTAATGAAAGTGGTGAACTAATATAGTTTCATATTGTCCCTTTCCATAGTAATAAGAGTGGTGAACAAATATAGTTTCATATTGTCCCTTTCCATAGTAATGAGAGTCGAACAAATATAGTTTCATATTGTCCCTTTCCATAGTAATGAAAGTGGTGAACTAATATAGTTTCATATTGTCCCTTTCCATAGTAATAAGAGTGGTGAACAAATATAGTTTCATATTGTCCCTTTCCATAGTAATGAAAGTGGTGAACTAATATAGTTTCATATTGTCCCTTTCCATAGTAATAAGAGTGGTGAACAAATATAGTTTCATATTGTCCCTTTCCATAGTAATAAGAGTGGTGAACAAATATAGTTTCATATTGTCCCTTTCCATAGTAATGAAAGTGGTGAACTAATATAGTTTCATATTGTCCCTTTCCATAGTAATGAGAGTGGTGAACAAATATAGTTTCATATTGTCCCTTTCCATAGTAATGAAAGTGGTGAACTAATATAGTTTCATATTGTCCCTTTCCATAGTAATAAGAGTGGTGAACAAATATAGTTTCATATTGTCCCTTTCCATAGTAATGAAAGTGGTGAACTAATATAGTTTCATATTGTCCCTTTCCATAGTAATAAGAGTGGTGAACAAATATAGTTTCATATTGTCCCTTTCCATAGTAATGAAAGTGGTGAACTAATATAGTTTCATATTGTCCCTTTCCATAGTAATAAGAGTGGTGAACAAATATAGTTTCATATTGTCCCTTTCCATCATAATGTGGGGATGATCCAAAATATACAGTTTTAATTTCATTGAATGGTGTTTATATATCTGGAGCATCATGTAGCAGAATAAAGGATTAAGAAATAACAAGACATCTAAACATGCAAGACAATTTGAAGATTGAAAGATGAGCAGTTATTGTTGGGATTGAGATGAGTGCAAGGACAAGCTGATCTTACAGGACAGGTAGAAACTTTACTTGACTCTGGCTCGGACTAGTAGCTAAATTCAAAGACTGCTGTCAGTCATTGATAGGCCTGACTGTGTGATAGCTCGGACTCCATTAAAACCTTTAAAGAACTGGCATCATGCATGATCTGGCGTAGGCCAGTGGGCAAGTATGATTCAATTTCCTAGTCAGTCAAAACCAACTTTGTCTGAATACTCAAAGTTAGTGATATCAGTCAAGTAGTGAATGATTATCTTTAATCACTTTAATCTGGATGCTTTGATGTCATATTACATTGATTTGTAAACTAACATGCTGAAAACAAAACTTTGCAGTTTTTTTTGTAGATATACAAAGTGTTACATGATGATTATGTTATACAAGGTGTTACATGATGATTATGTTCCAAGCCTATGACAAATTGTAATGATACAAGAGAGTCGTGGTTGACATGACACGCCCAGTAATTTGAGTGTGGCACTGAAATTTACATACACCTTTAAATGTGTTAATAAACAGGAAAAGTTCTTAATTTCACAAACACCACTAATAACAATATGTTGTATTCTATAATTTATACCTAGATTGAAATGAGCATCAGAAAGTGGAGAATAGTATCTGATCTTTTGGTGTAAAGCAATGTCTGTCTCTGTCAGCATAAAGAGGGTGTTAGGGCCAAAATATGTTTGACTTTTTTAACTGAAGAGTTCAATACTTGACTTTATATTTGAGAAAAAAACGTGGACCAGCATAAAATAAACTGCTGAAATGTTGACCTTCTTAAAGGGGCACTGATCTAACGCATTTCCCCGGACTGGTTGTTGCCTTTGTTATTGTTTTTCCCCCGTGAGTACCCGGATGATACGCAACGCAACTGAGCGTGACCAGAGACTGGGCTACCGTCTGCAAGTACAGCTAAATAAACTTTGGAGGCTGGAGGCAATATTTGTTTTACGCATTTTTGAACACTGATTGGTTAACTGTGATCTATAAAGATTTCTTCAAAGGGCGCATGTTAATTAATTTCTTCAGCCTAAACAAACAGACAAAAAGAACGGTGGAGCTCATCGGATGTCGTCATTTGGAAATACCCCAGGCGGTTATAGTTTAATATAAAAAAAAGTATCCATGCAGTGAAAGCATTTTCGGATTTCGGATTGCGTCGATAATACGATTACTACTCCCTTGATGTCATCCACGTTTTCTGGTATAACCCTACACTTGTGTATTTGTCGTCATTCACTAGATGCTCAGTTAATGAATTTATTACAGGTACAATTAGTGGTAGCACCACTTAGATTACCCGACAAAGGTTCCCATTTGGCATTTATTGTGTCTGGGGTATATTATTCAATCAAAATCCAGGTTTGAAGTGAGGTGAAATTTGTGTTATGTTATATGCACGTGGCAGCCCAGCAAGAGGTGAATGATCGGTTGATTTACTTATTTTTGTAAATCAACGGATCGTTCCTAGTCATCAAAGGAATAACAGGAAATACGTGGATTGATTAATCACTGTTATCTTGCACAGTGGATATGTTAAAAGTGAGTGTTTACATGTCTAGGTTTACTAAAACAAAGGGAATACACTCATATCATGGCGTGAAGTGCTGATGTAAAAACAACATACTTTGTTCAAAGGGTTAACTGATAATACGTTGATTGATTGCTCATTGTTATCTATCACTCAATGGATTTTTTTAGAAACCGTGGACGTTATGAAAATAGTTGTCACGTGGGCTTTCTCAGCCGACCTTTGAGACCTTACACCTACATGTATGTGAAACACCTGAAACAATCTAAGTGATCAGTTGAGAAACGAACACGGGTTATAATATTCCGAAACGATGTATATCTTGATTGTTGCAGAGACACGTGACATCGAATAAGTTTCTTTGTACAGCTGCAGACGAGTGGGCTATTGTTCCTTTGTGTGGATATTCACGGATACATTACTCGAACAAGGAAGCTGCCTAAAATTTAGACACATAAATTTGGTAGGTTGTACTTATGGTATTTGCATTTTGTTTTCCTTCATTTGCTGTAGCATTGAACCGATTCGTCCTTGTTTTTCTACGTCTTGGTTGGGAAATTCTTCAATGCGCGATAGACGTTGTGTTCACAGGCCTTTTCCCTTGTAGGCGTGTATATATTACCGTCAATTTGTAAAATATAATTCTCTCAGGCAATTTATAAAATGTGTAAATATTTCAGTCATTTTGACTAAAAAAATCTGTCCAGATTGATTTAGACGATCAAAAGGGCCTACAAACATCACAACAGATTATTATGTAGGATTAGAAGCCAAACAACACAGAAATGTACTTTTCAGTCTCTTGGTGATGACATTAAACATCAAAATGTTTCGAATTCGTTATCATAATAATACAGATGGAAATGTTTTTCAGTCACTTTGTTAAATAACTGAATATTTAGGCGTTTAATAAATTTTAAAATGTTACACATTTTGACAAAAATATACACACTATCAAAAAGCAATGCTCAGGTGAAACTTTGTGTTGCAAGTTAAAATAGTGTAAACGAAAATCGCAAAATTACCAAGCAAGTGACTTATCAAAACTACGTCACCATTACCGATGCTACCCACAAAGATACTTACATTTCCTTATTATCTCGAAAACTGTATTTCATTTTGTTGATCAATGTGACCATACGCCCTTATTACTACCCATACAAGTGACTAATGCGCTTACAAATGGCGCAGCAGAGTTCGCGAACTAGTCTAGATTTCTGCTATACATCCGGGTACTCACTGGGAAAAAAACAATAACAAAGGCAACAACCAGTCCCGGGGAATTGCGTTAGATCAGTGCCCCTTTAATAATGGTAGCACTGAAAACATATCCGTCAAGCTACAGTAACCTGAAACTGATCAACTAATTATTCTGCTTACAGATGACAACTGATCACTAACAACCCTTATTGATGAATACGAAAAAAAAATTCTCTGGTTGTTACTCTTCAGTAATAGATCTAGTTATCTGATAGGTCATTTTTTGCTACACCAAGTAATCATCTTGATGAGCAACTAGTCAATTACCTGTCCTTGATGATCAATAAAGTAAAAGTATTCTCTGATTTTCGGTTCAGGGGACTGTCCCTGGACATAATGGATGAATCTGGCTGTGCTAAGAAAATGTCTGCGTGATGTCAAATTGAACAAACTTCTTGTAAATTTGACAGTTGTCATGCTTCCCAGTTTTGTTTACATCGGAAGTTTTCAATACGCATGTCACGCGCACTGTTTCCGGAAAGTTATTAGTAAACTAAAATTCAATTGGCTAGAAGGAACTATCTGAGCCAATCATGGACAGGCTTATACACTGCGTCGGCGGTTTTCTCCCCATATTTCCATGTCGGAGTCATGAATGGGAATCTTACCATGTGATAAAACAATGATTTTGTGTTATATTTGACGTTTCACATAACATCTAATGACGTCTTTAGGAAATTAATGTTCATTTTAGAATAATTAACTTATAAAATGTCACAAACGAAGCGAGCATGGAAACTACGTAAGTATTTAAACGATCCGCTGACATGCCAAATAAGACTAGAAATGATTTCTCCTCACAAAATCTTGACTGACATAAAAAGGATGTGTATCTATGCGATGTTAGGATCTATGCCATGTTTTGCTATACGTGATAGTATGTTTTTCATTCTTATGGTCACTTTGATTAAGATAACCCGATGACAGTTAACATGTGTTAAAACGCACAAATTGACAAAACACAATATTTTCATGTGAATTGGAAGATCTAGGTTCATTCACTCTGGTTGGTGTATCATCCCCTGTGTGTTAAACCAACCTCTTGAAACAGGTAGTAGAATAAGAGGTATACTTGCATGTGGTAAATCCAAATATACAAGAGCTAAAAAGATGAGTGCCATGTTAATACACATTTAATTATATACTGGTTATTGGAGAATATAATTTCATTTTCTTCAGAACATTGACAACTGAACTTGTTTATCCTGGGGCAAATAGAGATTGGAAAGGAACATGATAAATGTTATAAATTCTGCCTGCTTACAAATTAATGAACACGGTTGTAATAACTGATGATAGATGTGTCACCATTTGCATAATTAGTGTCATAAATGTGATTAATATCTATCTTCTTGTTTTTAGCATGGGAAAACTAGCTTACAAGGGATATTAGTAAACTGATATATTGAATTTATTAATCATTTTTATTGACAATGCTAATGAATTTAAGCAAATTTGCTTTCTCTTTTCACATCAAATGAGTAGCTTTGGTTTGAAATGTTATCTGAAGTGAATTTGGGAGGAGAAACGTGTAAATAAAATTAATTATTTCACCATGTTCAAAGCTAAAGATTTTTTTATGATAAGTTTGTTCTTCACTTAACAATTGCATGTGAGCTAAGGACTGAAGGTACTAGTGGTTAAAGTTATGGTAGTATGGCCGAAGACCTGGATTCTGTTTCCATCCTTTGTACAAACCCATGAAGATCCGGTGTAGAACAGGTCTTCAGCAACCCATGCTTTCTGTAAGAGGCGACTATGCTTGTCGTAAGAGGAGACTACAGGATCAGGTGGTCACGCTCGCTGACTTGGTTGATGCATGTCATCATGTCCCAATTGCGTAGATGGATGCTCATGATGTCAATCACTAGATTGTCTGGTCTGGACTTGATTATTTACAGACCGCCATCATACAGCTGGAATATTGCTGAGTGCTGCGATAAACAGCAAGCAAACATCATGTGTACCATATGTACAATGGCTGCAGCACTCTCTTGGTGTCCCGACATCTTGTAGCAGAATAATGGATATACAAATAAGACTGATAACCAGAAATCTACCAATAAACGTTATCAAAGAAGAAATATCCTTAAATAATATTTTTGTGAAAAGGTAAAAAAATACTAGTTAAGAAACCAAGAAAAGCTGGTGTTAGAATTGATGAGTGTTTTTATTTCTGTTTTGACAGAGGAGTTTGTGGCTCACAGTGCCAATATCCAGTGTCTGGCAATGGGTCACAAGTCCGGCAGGGTCATGGTCACTGGTGGGGAAGACCGGAAGGTCAACCTATGGGCCCTCGGCAAGCCACATTGCATCATGGTAGGTGTACCAGTTTATATATGGCAGTTGACTTGATGAACACTGAAATGACACAGTCTTCAGAGAGGCCACTTTGTGTCTTGACAGAGTCAAAAACAAATGTTTCATGTCAGCCTTGTTTTTCTAACTATGCTAACCGTCCTTGTATTTGACAAATAATAAGTTATGCATTCTGAATACGGAGCAAAACATTGATCTTGTTTTTAATGGAACTTGATTTAGATTGACAAGATTGCTATTACAAATACTGATACATCTTTTTTAAAAGAGGGTGTGCACTTGTAATATAAAAAATGAATGGACAATTTGTGAATCAATTTATGTTTGTTAGCCAAAATTTAATCAATCATTTTTGATGACATGATAAGGTTTTTACCATGACTTACAGAAGTGGAGGTCCAAGGGACCCCCAATAATTAATTTTAAGGGTCGTTGCAGGCAGTATGAGGGTCCTGTGAAGTAATGAAATGGTGTCGTGTACTGTACGTTTACATAAGTACTTGAGAGCCTGGAATGAATCAATGGTCATGTGGACTGTGGTCATGATTGATGGACAAAATATCAGACCCCACAACTGCCTTGATGTGCTGTAGGTATGATGAATATCATTTTCAGCCCTTGGGACATGCATGTAGTACACATTTTTTTCTGCATCCATTATCTACGTTTGTGCATACTGGACATCCATTTGTGCATCGCGTTAAACCCTGCATCATGTGGCTTTACTTAAGTCGGTTATATGTTTGTTTATACATCAACATGCTGTGTATGTTTCTAAAAGGGAAATAGTACGCATGCACAGACTCTCTCACACGACTTGGTTGATGCATGTCATCGCATCCCAATTGTGTGGATTGATGCTCATGATATCAATCACTGGATTGTCTGGTCCAGACTTGATTATTTACAGACTGCCGTCATATAGCTGTAATATTGCAACAAACCAACTAACCAACAACCAGTTTTATACCGATAAAATTAGGCTTGGACCGGTAATTCTTGTGACGCCAGTCCCTGTGCAAATAAAGTACTTATAAATCACATCGGTGATGATCCATATAAGTACATTTTTCAAACAAAGTCAGCTTGTCTGTTACCATCCAGGTTTCCCCTTGTCTATTTCTAGGTTAAATACCCATTTGTAGCGACTTCATCTCGAAATATTTAAAAAACAGAGAAAACTGTGCCTGGAGTTTGTGTGAATGATGTATAGATCTAACAAAGTTACTTCAGAGATGGGGGGGCGGTCGGGTAGCCTAGTGGTTAAAGCGTTCGCTCATCACCCCGAAGACCCGGGTTCGATTCCCGACATGGGTACAATGTGTGAAGACCATTTCTGGTGTCCCCCGCCGTGATATTGCTAAAAGCGGCGTTAAATCATACTCACTCACTCACTTTAGAGATGACATCTTTGTACTGGACATGATGTTGAAAGAATTAAAACCAAATAATTTTCATACATTTTTTTTTATTTGTTGAAAGTTGGGACTGGCAAAAATTAGCATGATTAGGGGGGACTGGTAAGTTTTAGAGTTGCCAGTCCACCAAGACTGGCAGTTTCAAAAGTCAGCGGAAACACTGTGGATTGTCTCCTCCATCTACAACACTTGTATATTATTTGGACCCCAAAGGTAGCGTTGAAGCGTGTTATCACTTAAAAATGCTTGCTCCCAAGTTGTGAATCTGATTTAAATTTATGAAAGTACTTGTAGCTCTAGCACTTCCAGTTAGCATGATCAGTAACATTGAGCTCCCCAATACCCGTCTGTATGGATAAATGCTGTTTTCTAATTCTCTTGTATTATCATTGTAACGTTTTCAATAAATGTAATTACCGCTATTAGGCTAAGAAATGCATTTGTTTTCAATCAGTACTAATCATGCTGCGATGGAGATGGGCGTTTTTCTTCCCTAGATTTCAGAAGTAAAATCAATTGGGCATAAGATGTGATTTGGTTTGAAAGTGATCAGTGCAAAACGAATGTCTACAAATGTCTCACATTATTACAAGTAGAATTTTTCGCAATTCACATGCTTTTATTTGGTTCAAAACCATGAACACCTTTAAACATGTATAACTGAAATTTGAAGCCATCACACACAAACACCCCTCCCACTACCACCACTATTGATTTAACATGTTTGTGTTGATCAAAGTCATGACATCATTAGGGTCTGTGGCGCCTCCGATAGGATATTCTATGACATCTTGGGCTAGATATTGATATTGGAACAGCACTTGAGCAAAATTGTCAGGAAAACGCTACACACAGACATGTTTTATGGCCTGGCTCTGTCAAATAGCGGTCCATTAAACACTGCACTTTACATCCCCTGTGTTGTATTAACAAAGGGAGCAGTGCATCACTGAAATCAGGATCAGTGGTCCTGATATTAATTATGCTAAGTCATACATTTTTAATTACCAATTTCCTTAAACTATTAATCACGTTTGTCCTTCATGAAAATATTTTGTAATATTGCTGATTGTGGCACAAAACCTCACTCTCTCAGTCAGGTACATTAAGCTGACATGCCGTGATATTACCAAAATACTGTTCAAAACGGAATAAAACCCTTACCTACTCACTTATGTGAATTAATCATTCCATTACCTGAAGTATATACAGATAGGATATTTTCTTTGCTGACTGTGGCCTAAATAGCATTCTCTGAGTCACCCTATTGAATATTGGTCATTCTTGTCATACTCTAAACCCAAGACTTCACCCACTTCCTTATTCTATTACTCAGCGGACCTTTATGACAGGCCACACAAGATATATTTGTGTGACTGTCAAAGAACATTTACATAACACATTACAATCTGTCAGATCAGTTCTCTGTATCGTGTGACCAGAGTTTCCCTTAGCCTATGGGGAAGTGCTCTTGACATCAATCACTGGTTTGTCTGCAGGCCGACATGCTTGAATATTTCTTAGGTGACATTAAACATGTGGAACAAATATAACAGAGCAGGAAAGCACATGAGACAAGTGCAGTGTCTGAAATAACTGCTTGCCTGCCTGCCCGTGGCTGATAACTTTTAAATTATTTCAAACACTGGACAAGTGTACATTTCAGTGATTTGTTATTATCTACGTCTTGCGACTTGTCCGCCATCAGCCTGTGTGATCACAGAGCCATGTGAAGGGTGCGGGTGGCTGCAATATTTGTCCAAGGATCAGGTTGCTGACCCAGCCACAGACTTGACCTCTGGTCACCTTACCTCACAGGCAGATTAACAACTTCCTTGAATGCACACCTGATGTACCTGTACTGGGGCGTGTCTGAGGACTGCTGGTTAGCTTAGCTAATGGGTATGGTAGTCGTTTGTGACAGTCGATCTGTTGGGGAAATAAGTAATAATATGAGAAAGTACCCTGGTGTTTTCACTGTTAATTTTGATATGTTTAAATGAAATAAATAAAATTATTTAGTCCTTAAATGCTTTGGCAGGAATAAGAAAAATATTGTGTTGAAAAACTGTAGAGGTTTGATATGAGACTGTACTTTGCATTGATTAGGTCAGACATTGTTGTTTTTTATATAGCTTACAGATTTTTTTATCCCAAAATTCTGGTCTGTAGGTCGAAAAATAAAAAAATATTTGTCATTTTAAATATATTTTATGATTTTTCCTCTTGTGTTTTGTTATTATTTGTTGTGTTTTTTAGTTTTTAAGATAGGTTTTCAACAGGTTTTAATAATAGTATTTTAAATCATTTGTTTTATATTGATAGTGATTGTTAAATATAGGGGTTTTTTTTATCATTTTTGCTTGTTTCTGGTCAGCAGAGTATGAAAACTCACTGCTTTTCATTTTTATTGTTATTGTCACTTTTCAGTTATTTTTTTAAGTCGGCAGATTCATAAAGCAAGTTTTTTTAAAATGTCTGACCTTATCATTAGATATGAATGTCCATGGGGGTACCAGTCCGGCAGCTATATTAAACACGGGGTACATCTATTAAACAACAAGTTTGATAAGAACTAGGCTGGTAGGAATCAAGATACTGTCTTCTGTGATCAAGTAGTGCTTTTATAGTTACAGTGAGTGACAGATAATCTCATAAAGCCGTCGGCTTTAATTGTGATCCCCACTCTAGCAATACATGCTCCTCATAACTCATAACTTTATGTATAGACATCTGTGTACGTGCCAAGAGCTGGCCGATCCAACAGAGACAAAGGGAGTCTCACAACATGACTAGCTTGGTTACGTTAGCCTGATGAGTGAGTGAGTGAGTGAGTTCGGTGTTACGTCGCTTTTAGCAATATTCCAGAAATGGGTTTCACACATTGAACCCGGGTCTTGGGCGTGACGACTAAGCTACCCGACCGCCCCGTTAGCCTGATGAGTGTGTATTACATGTCTGTTTGACATGGTTAAAGAGTATTGCCCCCCTTACATGGCTATAGGTCTCATTAGGTGTTGATTGTGTTTGTCATGTGTTATGAATGTATTGGATGAGCCTGGTGAGTGTGTATTACATGTCTGGTTGACATAGTTAAAGAGTATTGGCCCCCTTACATGGCAATAGGTGTCATTAGGTGTTGATTGTGTTTGTCATGTGTTATGAATGTATTGGATGAGCCTGGTGAGTGTGTATTACATGTCTGGTTGACATAGTTAAAGAGTATTGCCCCCCTTACATGGCAATAGGTGTCATTAGGTGTTGATTGTGTTTGTCATGTGTTATGAATGTATTGGATGAGCCTGATGAGTGTGTATTACCAAAGACCATTACAGATTGAGTATTATTTAGTATCCCGTCTGTATATTCTGACATGATGACATTAAACATCCACAAGATACACACCGGCTTGTTAAGGCCTTGAATTGTGCAGCAGCCATAGAAACTAACAGGTTTAGCCCACTAGTCCTTAAAATGATAACATGTAGCAAAACCCTTAAAAAGGACAAATAGATACTCGTCCTTGGGATTCCTTCACTATTGGGCAGTTTAGCAAGGACTTTTGGACTAGTGCCAATTTCTAACGCTCGGCAGTCTGGCTTTGAAAGATCTTGAATTGTGCCATCTGCCTTAAAAAAGGCTTAAATTGGGCATGGACACAATGGCAACAAATGAATATGTTACAAATATTTTGTTCGTGTAATAATGCATGATGGCATTGTGTATCAAGTGCTTAGTCCTGGTCTTATCCTGATCGGGGCGGTCGGGTAGCCTAGTGGTTAAAGCGTTTGCTCGTCACGCCGATGACCCGGGTTCGATTCCCGACATGGGTACAATTTGTGAAGCCCATTTCTGGTGTCCCCCGCTGTGATATTGCTAAAAGCGGCGTAAAACCATACTCACTCACTCACTCTTATCCTGATCAATAAATAAAACTGCCGTGTGGACCTTGCCAGGACAAGTGGAGCCATTTTTGAATGAACTGAAGCACGATTGACCCAATAATTCTTTTTGAAGACAGCTTGGGTCTTAATCTTAGCCCTGAAAAGTATTACTATTGCCTGAAAAAAGGCAGAAAGAGGCCTAAAATTGATACATAAAGGTATGTGAAGCATTATCCAAAGCAGTTAAAACTAGCCATTACCTGCGTACTTCAGTCTCATCCAACACCAGCTGATTGTCACAGGTATTTGGCCACTTGTGTTGACCCTGGTAAACATGGTGGAAGAGTCTCCACACCAAGAAATACATGAAACATATTGTTTCCATGTGTGCACGACACATATCCAGAATTGCTTGAACAGTGTCAAATGTTCTAACATTCTAAACATTACTGCAATTGTTTTTGAGAATTCCAGATTGTTTCACCCATTTTTTTGCCTTCTGCATGGAGACATTAAAGAACCAAGTGGATCATTTTTTAACAAAATTTTGAAAATATCAACAAATTATTGTGATTGAATTACATAAAGTTGAAATTGTATGAGAGTTGCTATGTTACAGAGCCTGACTGGGCACACCACATCCGTGGAGGCGGTGAGGTTCGGTCACGAGGAGGAGATGGTGGTGGCGGGCTCGCTGTCCGGCGCACTCAAAGTGTGGGACCTTGAACAGGCCAAAAGTGAGTCAAGGGAGACAACTGCAGCTTAACCTATAGCTGTACATACTTGTAGTTTGGAAGATTATTTTATGTGAACACACATAAAAGTTCCTGTACTCGGAGGTTCCATGGGAAACCAATATGAAACCATGAGGGCATCAATATTTCAAGCCTGTTATTATTGGATACCCTAACCATAATTTTGCCAGTCAGTATATAGCAATATATAGCATGATATGAAGTATTTCTGATAAAAATTTCTTCAAATCTTGAAATTTGGCCTCTTGCTCTTGTTCATGTTGTTGCCAAGCAACACATTGAAAAAGTAGGGTGTTCCAAATGCTGTTATTTTTACACAATTAAGGCAGCCATGTCAAGTCTCGGCGAAATTTGGTACGGAACTTGATTCATGTCACACTTTACTATGTTCTGTTCCATTTATCTTCAGTTCTTCATGTAAACGTAATAATCCAGCTGGAGTAACCCTTCTGAGATCATGGCCATAGTCGTCAAAAACATTATCTCACACATTAATCTGACCCATATGACATCACTGAAATACCTGTAGGAACCCAAAATCATGCACTGTTCTGGGTGAGAGTTCCCATCAATCTGTGCTGGTTGTAAGAGGACTTAATGGATTGGTAGGTCAGACTCTGCGACTTGGTTGATAGCGTGTCATCGTATACCATGGTTTAGATTGTTGTTTTTAATATTTATCATTGGATTGTCTCGTCCAGACTCGATTATTTACAAGCCACTATCACATAGCTGGAATATTGCTGTGTGCTGCGCTAAATAACAAACAAAGCTCAGTCTTCATGGAACTTAGTGATTATACAATTGAAGGTTTGTACAATGTGTTGTGTTTGTACCCCTAGTTATGCGGACGCTGACTGGACACAAGTCGGGCATCTCCAGTCTCGACTTCCACCCCTACGGAGACTACACGGCCTCGGGGTCCTTGGACAGCAACATCAAGGTAGGCTCTGGTACATCATGGTGTCAGCATCAGCAGCACCTCACACAGTGACTTGGTTGATTGGTCAGAGTCCATGACTTGGTTGATTGGTCAGAGTCCATGACTTGGTTGATTGGTCAGACTCTGTGACTTGGTTGATTGGTCAGACTCCATGACTTGGTTGATTGGTCAGAGTCCGTGACTTTGTTGATTGGTCAGATTCTGTGACTTGGTTGATTGGTCAGAGTCTGTGACTTGGTTGATTGGTCAGAGTCTGTGACTTGGTTGATTGGTCAGTCTGTGACTTGGTTGATTGGTCAGACTCTGTGACTTGGTTGATTGGTCAGACTCCATGACTTGGTTGATTGGTCAGAGTCCGTGACTTGGTTGATTGGTCAGATTCTATGACTTGGTTGATTGGTCAGAGTCTGTGACTTGGTTGATTGGTCAGAGTCTGTGACTTGGTTGATTGGTCAGAGTCTGTGACTTGGTTGATTGGTCAGAGTCTGTGACTTGGTTGATTGGTCAGACTCTGTGACTTGGTTGATTGGTCAGACTCCATGACTTGGTTGATTGGTCAGAGTCTGTGACTTGGTTGATTGGTCAGACTCTGTGACTTGGTTGATTGGTCAGAGTCTTTGACTTGGTTGATTGGTCAGAGTCCATGACTTGGTTGATTGGTCAGACTCTGTGACTTGGTTGATTGGTCAGACTCCATGACTTGGTTGATTGGTCAGAGTCCGTGACTTTGTTGATTGGTCAGACTCTGTGACTTGGTTGATTGGTCAGACTCCATGACTTGGTTGATTGGTCAGAGTCCATGACTTGGTTGATTGGTCAGAGTCTGTGACTTGGTTGATTGGTCAGAGTCCATGACTTGGTTGATTGGTCAGACTCTGTGACTTGGTTGATTGGTCAGAGTCCATGACTTGGTTGATTGGTCAGACTCTGTGACTTGGTTGATTGGTCAGAGTCTTTGACTTGGTTGATTGGTCAGACTCTGTAACTTGGTTGATTGGTCAGAGTCTGTGACTTGGTTGATTGGTCAGACTCTGTGACTTGGTTGATTGGTCAGAGTCTGTGACTTGGTTGATTGGTCAGACTCCGTGACTTGGTTGATTGGTCAGACTCCGTGACTTGGTTGATTGGTCAGAGTCTGTGACTTGGTTGATTGGTCAGACTCTGTGACTTGGTTGATTGGTCAGAGTCTGTGACTTGGTTGATTGGTCAGACTCTGTGACTTGGTTGATTGGTCATAGTCTGTGACTTGGTTGATTGGTCAGACTCCGTGACTTGGTTGATTGGTCAGTCTTTGACTTGGTTGATTGCTCAGACTCCGTGACTGGTTGATTGGTCAGAGTCTTTGACTTGGTTGATTGGTCAGACTCCGTGACTTGGTGGATTGTGTATAATTGTACCTTGCAGGTTGTTATGTTCGTCATTAATATTATCAAGCACTAATTGTCTGGGCAGACTTGATGATAAGCAGGTCATTGTGATGTAGCTTGAATATTGCTGACTGCAGCAGGAATACATATAAACGTAATAGATCTTACAAACATGTTCTTCATTATATATACTACTCAAAAGAAGTTAAAGAACATCCATGACACATTACCTATAGTCCCAGGAGAGAATAGGTCTTCAGCAACCCATGCTTGACATATGAGGCGACTATGCTTGTCGCAAGAGGCAACTAACGGGATCGGTTGGTCAGGCTCGCTGACTTGGTTGATGCATGTCATCTTATCCCAATTGCGTGGATCAATGCTCATGATGTCAATAACTGGGTTGTGTGGTCTAGATTTGATTATTTACAGACCGCCTCATTTTCTTGAATATTGCTGAGTGCAGCATTAAACAACAAACAAACAAATTAACTAATGTCATAAAAAATTCAGGTGTTCTTTAACTTCTGTTGAGTATGTTCCGTGTCTCCTTTCATCAGAATGGTGTCCTGGGTCTGGATTCACAGTGTCACATGAGTGAGGAATGTGTGGATGGTTTACAGGAATGGCCAGTTTATGTGAACCTAAATATATATTCTTCTTTTACAGTTATGGGATATAAGAAGAAAAGGATGTATTTACACCTACACGGTATGTACGATCATGGTGGTATTTCAAAATAGCAATTCCTTGGAAGTTACAGGTCTTACTAAATTATTCAATTGATATGGTTTTGCAGTGAAGGCTTGTTACAACCTTCTTCATACCGCATTTTAGAAGAAGAAAGTCTATAGTCCCAGTAGAATGGAGTAGTCTTACGTCTCATGTGACGCTATGGTCTCTAGCTACAGATAAGATAAGAATCTGCTGACGCAGCCATAATATACTACTCAACTTTTGATAAGAATTTGGAGTATCCAGGTGAGGGCTGAATATGACTGATTGATTGGATATGTTGTCGTACAAACAGTATTTGAATTTGCCATGGAACTGAAGAATGTATGGCTTCATTTCAAGTTGTTTAAACGTAAGTTCACGGTTCAAGAGGTTAATGCTTGTCACTGTGCTACATCACAATATAAAAAATCTAAGTATCAAGTTAGTATCAAGATTGCTGTCCAGTGCTGGGATTCAAACTAACGTGTTGTTGTGGTAAAAGGCAACTATGCTTGTGCCGAAAGTGGTGACTGTGCTTGTCATAAAAGGCAACTATGTTTGTCGTAAGAGGCGATTAATGGGATCAGGTGGTCATGCTCGTTGACTTGGTTGATGCATGTGATCATATCTCAGTTGCGTAGATTGAGGCTCATAATGTCAATCATTGGATTGTCTGGTACAGACTTGATTATTTACCGATCATCATCATATTTCTGGAATATTTCTGAGTGTGGCGTTACACAACAAAAAAACAAACAAACAATGTTGAAAGTTGCATTTAGTATGATTGATTATGCCGGTTCGTACCACCCGCAGTAGAAGCGTTTGCTGGAAAAACTGAATTGTGTGTTTCATGTTACCATGCTTACATGTCTCAACATGGGGGGTGTTCCAGGGTCACTCCGACAAGGTGAACTGTCTCCGCTTCAGCCCGGATGGCAAGTGGATCGCGTCGGCAGGACAGGATGGCTTGATCAAGGTAAACATAAAAAGCTCCTCCTCAAAAAGACCAACAACCTTTGCTGTTGCCTTTGTGAATACGACCACAAGACAGGAATTTGTTAATTATGCTGTATACACCGAAACTGTGTTCAGTAGTGCCACCTCAGTTTTTGTTGAGAAAAGTACATAAATATACAAAGCAAAGGCAAATACCAATAATTCTTTAGTCCAGATGATGTAAATCTGAACATGTTTACTCAGAATTATTATGGCAATAGTTGAAATGCCTACAGTAGTCTCTCCAGACAAACAGGTGTCACTGTCTGAGGACAGCAGCCTCCACTTACCTGTGTAACTTCTCTCTCTCTCTCTCTCTCTCTCTCTCTCTCTCTCTCTCTCTCTCTCTCTCTCTCTCTCTCTCTCTCCACACACACAGGGATGGAAAGAAAGAGTGAGATACTCATTACACACAGACAGTGCAACTCAGTTCCGTGTAATGTTGCAGATCTGGGACCTGACAGCCGGCAAGCAGCTGATGGATCTCCGGCAGCACAAGGGGGCTGTCAACACTGTAGAATTCCACCCTAATGAACTCCTCCTGGCCTCGGGCAGTGCGGACAGGTACGTTGACAGCAAAACATCTCAGATATGCTATATACACTGTATGTGGTCTAGCATTGTAGATATATGTTATAGAGCTCTCCTCTTACAAACACGGTATGTGGTCTAGACTTGTTGTGTTGAAAGATGACAATATCATGGCTCTACCATCAGCTTGATACGGCATAAGTCTTGACTTGTCACTGAACCAAATAGTTCTCAATCACTGAATAAGCCATTATATGCCTGCTTAACTCCAAAGTTTACGATGTTGTTGCAACACAACACCTCTGGCCCTGAGACCTGAGACCTGACTCACAAAAGGCTGTTCCGCAATGCCTGGTCACATATCCTTCACGCCTCTTGTACGCCTATGACGTAGCCATGTGAAGTGAACCTAGACAACCATTGTAACACAGGGTTGGCCTGACAGGGTCAGGCATGGGATTTACCATGCTGTTGGTACCAATACCAAAGTCGAGAGATGGTGTTCTGGGACACATTGATCCCCCTCTCCCTCTGTGATTCTCCACCTTCCAAGGTTCCCATGAGGTGTTACTTTTCAGTTGTGCATTTGGTCGTTGTGGCAGGTTTGGTCATTCAGTGTTTCCAACCGTGACATTATTAATTTGGTCCCAAATAACATATACATTATTATCGTATCACTTTTAAAGCTCACAGAAAGAAAGCTACATGTCAGGATGAGCTGAGTTGCCCCCCCTCACTAGATGGCTTGGTGTCACTCACTCACTCACTCAGAAGCACGGGTGGCCCAGTCATCTGAGATGCCACAATTCACTGTGTCTCTCAGGTGTGCCACATATATATGGTCCTGGGTTCTAATCCCAGATACACCCTGATTATGTCCCTTGGTTTTTCATACCTGTGCTCATGGGTTTTGTCAAAGTGGTAAACATCTGGGACAAAGTGGTAAACATCCCGCCAAGCTGACATTCTGTGATATACCTGCAATTAGGTTCACGGCAGATTGAAACAAGCGTCACTCACTCACATGCTCCTTACATTAATAAAACAAACTGTGAACAAGTCATCAACAAGAGAAGACAAAAGCTGAGGACTTTTGGTTTATTGTGTTGAGTGAATGCATACTGGTGTTTCAGAACAATCAAGTTCTGGGACTTAGAATCATTCCAGGTGGTGAGCACCACCGATCCAGAAGCAACGCCTATCAAGTAAGTCTTTATCTCAACGCCTATCAAGTAAGTCTTTATCTCAACACCCATCAAGTAAGTCTTTATCTCAACACCCATCAAGCAAGTCTTTATCTCAACACCCATCAAGCAAGTCTTTATCTCAACACCCATCAAGTAAGTCTTTATCTCAACACCCATCAAGTAAGTCTTTATCTCAACACCCATCAAGCAAGTCTTTATCTCAACACCCATCAAGTAAGTCTTTATCTCAACACCCATCAAGTAAGTCTTTATCTCAACACCCATCAAGCAAGTCTTTATCTCAACACCCATCAAGTAAGTCTTTATCTCAACACCAATCAAGTCCACCCTGATGGTCTGTGTGTGTTACAATGACCCCCTGACAGGAGTATAACACTGATATTGTCCCCCAGGAGCCTGCTGTTCCACCCTGATGGCCTGTGTGTGTTACAATGACCCCCTGACAGTAGTATAACACTGATATTGTCCCCCAGGAGCCTGCTGTTCCACCCTGATGGCCTGTGTGTGTTACAATGACCCCCTGACAGTAGTATAACACTGATATTGTCCCCCAGGAGCCTGCTGTTCCACCCTGATGGCCTGTGTGTGTTACAATGACCCCCTGACAGTAGTATAACACTGATATTGTCCCCCAGGAGCCTGCTGTTCCACCCTGATGGCCTGTGTGTGTTACAATGACCCCCTGACAGTAGTATAACACTGATATTGTCCCCCAGGAGCCTGCTGTTCCACCCTGATGGCCTGTGTGTGTACAGTGGGTGTAAGGACATGTTAAAGGCCTACAGCTGGGAGCCCGCCACGTGTTACGACTCTGTGCCTATAGCCTGGGGAGATGTCGCAGAAATAACCATGGGACAAGATCAGTTGGTAGGTCAAACCACCTTATGTTGTTCATATTTCCGAGGCAAGGGAGTTTACTGACTTTAAGATGCCAGTGTCCACTCTTCCCAAACTTGAATGGAATTTCTAACTTATATTTCGGCTGGACTAAGAAGACTGTGCATAACTGAATCAAAATCGTTTCACAAAATAACAACATGGCCGCCACCATTTTGTTTGAAGCAAATGCAAGTGATATGAGAGGTGGAATATGATTGGTCAATAGGACGGATATAGAAGGGCCATAACTCGTAATAGCCACTGGTGGTGCTACAATGAGCCCAGACATCGCAGCCTGTTTGGGGGAGGGTGGAATCTGGACTTCCATGGTCAGTCAACTCTCTTGCCTGAGTATGATGTGTATTGCACATCTCAAATTACGATTTCACCACATCTGGAAAGACATAATGAACATTCTGTGACCAACCTTTCTTTTGGGCGATAAAGTACCTGAAAAATGCTATTGCTTCATATTTAGATACAAGCAAAAAATATGCCTCCTGAAAGAAGGGTTTGAGTTGTACAAGCTGTAATTAGAATTGTGGTGTGCTGTCAAGGGATAGAATTGTTTGTCCCTGTCCACACTCTGCGAGCCAATACCTTGACAACTGGCCTGCTTGTTTGTCATTTCATCTGGTTTTACATTATTTTACAATTTCCAACATTGTTGTTTTACAGATAGGATCTTCATTTGCTCAAACTAATGTCAGCAGTTTTGTAATAGATTTAAAGGTGAGTATGCAGTGTTATATATATCAATATATCAGTGTGTTATATGTATATCAACAAATAGTCTAAACATAGCAATTCGTAATGTTTCAATTTCTCTCTGCTGCCTTCAGGCAATTGAAAAAACATACTTGGTGTAAGCCTCCAGCTCTACTTAACATCATTGAATTCTATGATGATCTTGTTTATGACCAATGCAACATCTTCTCTTGTTTGTGGCACATCATTGAATCATTGGCAACACAACGACTGACTCAACAACAAAAGCACACAACAAACCAAGACACCTGAAGAATATTATACTCAAAATATTGTATATTATTATTGTATAAAATATTGTTCATGTAACTTTTGTTTTCATTGTCAGAGAGTCCAGCCAGTCGGTGGCACCTCCGAAAAGGGAAGCGGTTTGTCGAGGTTAGTCCGTGCTAGGGCTCATTTCCGAAAGGAATGTTCTTGTTTGTTCATGGTGGCATGAGAGTACTCATGTTAACATGGGTAAAACTTAATCATCTAACATAACATTCTGAAAGTAACAGGGGCCGTCGGGTAGCCTAGTGGTTAAAGCGTTTGCTCGTCATGCTGAAGACCCGGGTTTGATTCCCCACATGCATACAATGTGTGAAGCCCATTTCTGGTGTTCCCCGCCGTGATATTGCTGGAATATTGCTAAAAGTGACGTAAAACCATACTCACTCACTCACTCTGAAAATAACATAACATTCTGGACAAGCAGTTAAGCAAGAATTCAGCATGCCTGACCAGTTTTGAATATGTGATACAATTTTATCATTTTTTCAGTGGTCGTAAAAGTTTCATAACAGAACGTCCCCCGACAGCAACGTCCAGAAACTCAAGGTGAGCAAGTCCATGTAGTCTGTCCTCCTCCATACTGACCTGCTGGAGACTCATGGGCTCCCGGCATTAGAAATACAGGTTTCCTTGCAACTTGGGATCAAATACTTGGATCTGACATTATTTGGGAACTCTGTCTACACAATCTAGTCACCACACAGAAACACAAAATTGATCTGCAGTATCTGGTCGTAATCTCGTTTGGACAACCCACTCCGATAATGAGATATTAATTGATAATGGCAGGGTTTAAAAAAATGTGTATGTCTGTGATCACTGACTTAAAAGATCACACATTTGATTTGCCTTAAAAAATCAGCAAAAGTCTTTATGACTATGGTCCATATCACTTGGGGTATAAGTGGTTTGTCTGACTTATGTATAACAGGTCTGTTTGGCTCAGGGTATAACAACCCATTAGCCCAGTGTATGACTGCAGGGCTCAATTAACTTCATAAAACATGCACCAGTACACACTATTATTGAAAAGTGCACCCTTATATTTATGTCTACATGCACCAGGTCTGTCTGACTAAACAAGCTCTTGCACACAACAATGATGTTTGAACACACTCGATACCTCTAAGCTTTGTTTACATCACTCATCCCTGTTTTGTGTAATTTGTCATGCTTTCTTGGGCTTGACGTCATCAAACTGTGCACGTTCCCAATATGTTTCACAGCATTACGTCATTAATTTAAGTAAAATCGTCACAGTCATCATAGATCAGATTTGTTTTTGTTTTTTAAATCCAACTTTGATAACTTTATGGGACCAGGATGCAACCTGGTTTTGTCTGGTGCAACTAGGTTTTCATGTCAACATGCACCTGGTGCAACTAGGTTTTCATGTCAACATGGAGCTAGTGCAACTAGGTTTTCATGTCAACATGCACCTGGTGCAACTAGGTTTTCATGTCAACATGGAGCTAGTGCAACTAGGTTTTCGTCAACATGCACCTGGTGCAACTAGGTTTTCATGTCAACATGCACCTGGTGCAACTAGGTTTTCATGTCAACATGCACCTGGTGCAATTTAGATCAAGTTTCTGAAATCAGACGCTGAACTGGTCCATGTATAAGTGGTCCATATGCAGGTATGACTGGACCCTGTGTTAACTGGCCCGCGTGCAGTGTCACCATTCTGTTTGTTGTGATCTTTCTCTCTACACTGACACTCCACATTTCTCCACTTAGGCCAAGTGACAAACTTGCCCCACATTTCAGTGTCCCTAAGGAAGATGCCAGTGAGAGGAATGATGACCAAGGTCGGGGGGATGGCGACGACACCCAGTCGGCCACGGACATCCAGAACCAGGCTGACTACCGGGAACACTTCCAGTCCAACGCCAGACTCGGTAGGTAATCAGTCATGCATCCGGATAGGGGGAAAGATGCTGCAGCTATACTGGGAGGAGGGATCCCGAAGCATTTAGCATTGATGATTTCAAATGCAAATATTGAATTCAAGTTCATCAGTGTATATTTTTTAGTTCTTTTACTTAGTGATCGTTAACTCTGTGACCATGTACCCCTTCCATGAAATCCATGGCCTATGTCTGTGTTTAAAAATGGGCTCTGATATAGGAGTGAATATATATTGAACCATCAATTGTACTATATTGATAGGAATTTAAAAATGCCAATAGTATTGTCGATAGCATGCAGAACAATTGATAGTTTCAATAGTTGCAATTAAATATAAATATAACATAACTGTGCTAATTTCAAACCTACTTGTGTGTTGGTTTGCAAGCATTACGTCAGCTTCAGATTAGAATTACTTCCCTTTGGTTTGATTAGCTAGGGGAGGAAAATGGCCGACTTCGAGATTATTAGCAATATTTTATTCATTTCATTACATTGATTAATATAATAACCTGGACTTAGAGTTGGTTTACTACTATCACAATACTGTTGCAATAGGGAAATAGCCACAATAGTCATTCCTACTCTGATGTCCTGGTTAGGATTGCTTCATGATCACTTCCCAGCTGGATAAAAGGATCAAGAATTTGAATTATTTTTCAATGTGACTTCTGGTTTTGCTTGGGGCGGTAGGGTAGCCTAGTGGTTAACACGTTCGCTCATCACGCCGAAGACCCGGGTTCGATTCCCGACATGGGCACAATGTGCGAAGCCCATTTCTGGTGTCCCCCGCCGTGATATTGCTGGAATATTGCTAAAAGCGGCGTAAAATCATACTCACTCACTCACTCACTGGTTTTGCTTGGTTTGCGTGAACCTGTAAAGGGAGGCAATCCAAATAGCATCCTGAAGTATTGCACATGGATGCTTTGGTCACTCACTCACTCACTCACTCACTCACATGTACCGAACAAAATAGTTGGGGATCATCAATGTTTTGGGGAAAATATTTTTTTGAATTTAGGACTGAGTACACAATATCATACAAATATCCCCCAAATATCTGTGATCCCTGACTGTTTTGCTCAGTACGTGTTACTAAAACTGAGACAAATGTGTGAACTGAGAAGTACGAGCCTGCGTGCATCTCCTACGAACAAGCCGTGTATGTTGTAACTATTCAGTCATCAGTTTTCTGTAAGCTTTCGTCGTTCTGTTACTGTTTTGCTTCAGGACTGATTATGTCATTGTTTTCACCTCCACACACTCTGATTCATGTCACCTTCACATCCCCGAGACTACACCTCATTGTAAAATTGTATAATTCAATTTTCATTTTTTATATCTGTCAGTTTTGTAAACCATCCAATAAGAAATGAATGGCTTATCATTAACGTACATTATCACCCAAAACTGGTTTCTGTAAGTTGGAAGAATGATTTTGGATGATAGAATCTTGTCCACACGTCTTTTGTCACCCAATATATCAACACTTGTCGATAAAGGTTAAAAAGTCCTTTGAGCTTTCTATTTTTGTCGACTTGTGCTGATATAGTTGATGTTAAAGACACACAGACAGATTCTCTATTTCTTCACGTTCCATTCACAAAGAGTTGTGTTTGTGGAGCTGTCACCTGGGTTTTCCTGTCAGCAATTATCAACATGAGCTTATGCTAAAAGTAGTGTCAAATATGTTCATATATCCGAACATTTTTACTGACATAAATGACTGAATGTTAAGTCATTGAAATGTATATTTTGGAGCTTTGATTTTGTTAGATGATGTACACAAAGTCATGCATATTTCAGAAATATAAATGTTGCAGTCATATAATGGTACACGGCAGATGTGTTCGTTTCTTGACCTCGAAATATATGCATTGTGATTTCCAGTCTCTCCAAGTAAACATAACTGGCAGATAAGAAAGAAGTCAAGTGGTGAGAAACAGTTACTTCCGCATGTACCAGTAACGTGGGCCATAATAAACATAGGGGAGACTTTGGTGGAGGGGTCATTTAGAAAAGAATTAGAACTTATGCCTGATCTGAAAATATTGTACTATTTTCCTCAGTCAAAATTATCATATCCAATTTTTGGTGGAGGAAATATGCATGCAAACATTTTATTTTAACGAGCATTGTCTAGAATAATTTAAATCCCAGATGTAATTTTAAAAGTTTATAAAGTTATAGAGTTTGGTAACAGTATGACCACGAAGACATGATAGTATTTATGAAAGTAATTAATTATTTTTCACAGAACCTCAATTCAATCTTACTTGGCAGTTAGCCAAGAAATCTTCTGGTGAGCTATTGTATAACTTGTATATCGACATATGATGATAAGTGTATTATACCATCACTGTAACATGCATATACCAGCTTACACCAAGTATAGCCTGACGATGGTGGTGGTGATATAACCAACATGGCTTCACAAGCCCTGTACTGTAGTTGATTACTGTGTAATACTATATCCTATATCCCATTATCATGTACAAATGAATATAACCTTAACATATAGCTCACAGCCAGTGCAAATCCCTTTTAATGAATAACAAATTGAGAGATATGTGGTGGCAGTGGTCATCATCACGAGGCAAACATCCTGGTTCATAAACAAAGCGACTGCCATGCTGATTTCGGTCGTGTGCAGGATTTTCCGGAGCATGTGGGCGTTGACATGTATTTATTCAAGGTGCTCGGGTGATTTGATGCACTTCACAAGATAGCACCTGTTTTATAATGATAAAGATCGTCTTGACTTGGCACCGCCATGTTGTTTGAAACCAATGCAAGTGCTATGAGAGGTGGACTCTGATTGGTCAGTACGAGAGACATATAAGGGACATTTCTCATAATAGCCACGAAATTCCAGCCTAGTTCGACAAGGGTGGAAAGTGGACTTATACAGTCAGTTAACTCCCTTGCATCAGGAAGAGGGGTGGCGGTGAGCAGCAAGAGGGTAAAGCCCTCAGTCCACATGCTGTCAACCTGGGTTTGATCTCTACATAGCTGCACAATGTCAACCAAAACATGTAAACCCCATATGGTGGAATGTTTTCAGGAGTATGAAATATAATCACACCTTTACTAATACATCTCCAGGAGTCATGTCAAGGTATTTTTTCCATGATTGTTTTGAAGTTGGGGTTAATGATGATTGTCCAGGCATTGCTCAAAGCCACTTCACTGAACACTGAGCCATAAAGTGCCATGGATGCCACAGCTGTGCAGAGTTGTGTCCCTTAGGTATGCCAGTGGATTTGAATCCCAGATTCATGGTTGTCAGCACCGTACACATACTTGTGGGTTTCATCAGCGTCTGAGACCTGCATCACTTTGGGAATTCCTCCCACATCATGCTGACAAGCCATGGTATAACTGGAAAACTGTTAGACTCAAGTCACTCACTCATGACTACAACTGGTGTTGCTACTCGAGATAAAACAACACTTGTTTGAGGTCATTGGTGCTGGTCTCTGATATATCCAACATTGACTACTGGAAAACCTCATTCATGCTCACTCACTCACTCACTCACTCACTCACTCACTCACACCACATTATGTAAATTACAATTACATTTCAGCAGAAAAACTCTCTGTAATAGTTGTATGAATATTGGTATGAAGATATGTCAAGAAGATATTGATGCTAGGATATCAGAAAAGTATTTTTCCAGTAACCATGGTAACATTATTAAATCATAGGTGTTACTGAAATTTGAGGCAAAACCACCAGATTGCAATATGGGAATGCTTAGAGTTAACTTGATGTTAGCATGTGACAGGGTTTTCCGGGGTTATTTTTATTGTTTGATCAGAAATTATTGAGAATTCTTCATTCCATTTTGGCCGTTCATATTTACCTTATGAAAGGTGTATGTAGAACTTATTCTGACTTTGATTCAAGGGAGACAACTCTGCACCGCAAACAAGACAAATGTGGATATGGTATCTTTGGAAAATAGAAAGATTATTTCTGAATTATTCAATCAAGGAATCAGATCAGTACAGGCGTCGTCGTACAAAGGGATATTAGCGCTAAGATGATTGTGACTCCCATGCATTAACATAGACTTACGACTGTCTTAGGGCTAAGGTCTTTACAGAGAGAACAGACAGTCCACTATCAACTGTGTACCATCTCATGCCGTCTTTACCTTGTACCCAATACCCTGGGGGAGAGTGGGTTGGTCTGCCATCTGTACCCACTACCCAATACCCAGTACCCAATACCCTGGGGAGAGTGGGTTGGTCTGCCATCTGTACCCACTACCCACTACCCAGTACCCAATACCCTGGGGAGAGTGGGTTTGTCTGCCATCTGTACCCACTACCCAATACCGAGTACCCAATACCCTGGGGAGAGTGGGTTGGTCTCCAGTACCCAATACCCTGGGGAGAGTGGGTTGGTCTGCCATCTGTACCCACTACCCAAGACCCAGTACCCGATACCCTAGGGAGAGTGGATTGGTCATGGCATAACAGGGCGCTCTCAAAATTAGAAATAGGGGGCTCTTATTAGAATATTATATTGGTGAAAAACAACAGAGTTGAAGATCGTAAATTTCGTGGTTTATGCTGACAGCCTAAATGTTTATATACGACATATATTTTTCCAGAATTTAATTTCCCACGAATAAGGATGCATATAACACGTATTATACGAGAATAAATAAGTCTTGTGTACATTGATCAATTGGAAGGGGTGCTAATTGGGATTGTTCACTTGCCAATATATTAGCAAATATCGCCGTGGGCGCTTATTACATTGAATATGGTAATGCCAGCTGCACAATAAAACAACATTCACTCACTGATTGACCTCCCGGTGTGTCAGCATGCATGTGTGCACCAGTTGGCTGCATCACAGTCTGTGTTACGAGCTGGGTATCAGTGCTGTTAGTGCAGTGGAGATATCTGTGGATCAGGTGTAGCTGTCAAGGTACAGCACTTACCTCATGTACTGCATGTATTCAGGTGATAGAGGGCTAGATTCTGTACGGGTGTTCTGAAGTGCATGCTAAATGTGACAATACAAGCAGAGCCTAATCAGTAGTTAACCCAGCAGACAGACATTGCATGAACATATTCAAGTTGTCTGCATGGCGCATTAGTTCACTTATTGTGCAAATCATTTTGTTTAGTTAACACTTTGACGTGACACTTTTTTATAATGGCATGTGTTTGTTATCTGATATCATGCCAAACATTCAGTCGAAGATTAAGGACTAAATTTTTACTACCTCAGGGAAGTTAAAGAAACCTTGATTTGCTATAGTTAATCTATCATGCCATGTAAATGAATTATGTGTTCTTTAATTTCTTTGGAGTAGTACACTGGAGGTCACCAGGGAATTATTTAGACCTCTTCTTTGGCCGATATTTGGCCATTAGTCTGCAACAAATGGAAGTGAAAAATGGAAATTAAAAAGTTCCCAATTCATGTCACTAGTAATAACTAATGTGGTGTGTTAGTCCTTGACTTGTACTTCACCAACAACAGGCCCAATATGGAGGGAGAGCCTTCAACCCTTACTTTTAGATTGTTACATTGAAAGCAGAGTTCAAATATAATGTTGATGTGACTGACATAACAACTTGCCTTGGGCACTTAATTCTGGGTCGTAGATAAATCCCTGGGTCACTCTGCCAAAAGGTGAGTTCACAGAGACTGAATCTTCATACTTTCTTGATTAACGTGTAACATTTCTAAGATTTGAGATTGGCTTATCTGTGTTCTATTTGTTGATTGACTTCTGTGTATTTATATTTTACGTTTGCCCTGTTCTTGTGTTTTGAAAGACTAACCTGTATTAGTATGTAGATTGTGTTTCTAGTTGCATGCTCTATTTATTTCAGCTTTCTCTCCGCCCAAAAGAATGGAGCCTTTCCAGCCCCCACCTGATGACTGTAAGTGCATGCTGGGAGATTTTCATTAGGGGATAATCATTTCCGATTATCCAGTGTATTATATCTCCATTCCGTTATGATAATGATGTCAATTATCATAATTATTCTAGACCTATTTGTCAATTATTAAATCACCATCTCCATCAATAGGTTAGCACGGAATCACCTTTGTTGCTTAGAGTAATTTGATTGGACGGTTATTTTTAGCACCATGTTATTCAGGCTTAGCTCAAATTTGCAGCACATGGAGCCAGAGAATTTGTCCTGATGGAATGGAGGTAGAAAACACTGATTAGGGAAGGATGCTTGGGATAACTAACAGTTTAACGATATCACTGGATTGAAGCAAGGAACAATAATTTGGTTCCAACACAAACTAAGCCTAGGTTTTTCAAAATAAGTACTGTATGTGGACAGAAACTTGTCCTCCTGGTAGCTAAACAGCTTGGGCCTACCTCAACACTGAGGTGTGTTGTGAATTTTTGAAGTTATTTGGCTACTACCAATTGCATGATTTGAAGCAGTGACCGAAAAAAAAATAGCCTTCCCCTAACTTAAGCCCCTTCCTTTATGTATATGCCATACCTTGTTTGGAGAGTCATGAGTAGCCAGTCAGATCAGAGTTACCTCCCTCAACTTTCAATGTTACATACTGAACTTAGCCAATGGTGGTTCATAAGAACTTGACGTCCTGTCAAACAGTGCCAGGCATTGTCGGAAGATGAAGGACTTAGACGGTTCTCGTACAATACTGTTGAGTATAAATAGTTACAATGCCCTCAACAGTCACTGCTCACACATCAACCTCTCGGTGTAGAACGTAACTGCTGGTTCGTGGGCGGTTTGGTAGCCTACTGGTTAAAGCGTTCGCTCGTCATGCTGAAGACCCGGGTTCGATTCCCGACATGGGTACAATGTGTGAAGCCCATTCTGGTGTCCCCTGCCTTGATATTGCTGGAATATTGCTAAAAGCTCACTAATTGCTGGTTTGCCACTGACAGTGAGTTTCCTCCAAGTGTGGGTCTGTCATGCATGACTCGTTACTTTTTTACCCAGCTCGTATCTACACTTCAGCGTTAGAAACTGGCACTAGTCTTGTAGTCCTTTGCCAAACTGTCCAATAGTTAAGGTATCCTAAGCACTAGTAGAAATTTGCCCTTTTTAGGGGTTTGGCTATATGTTATCATTGCAAGGACTAGTGGGCTAAAACTGCACATGCTAACTGGGACAACATGGCTGAGGTATATCTTTTGCCTGTTAAAAAGTTGTGATTGGTGGTTGTTAGTAACTAATGGAAATTAATACGGTTGCTAATAATATTTTGGATGTGAAGGATAGTATGAAGCTACTTCTAGCAAAACATGGTTCTGAAAAGTATTATCACAAATAAATTCAGAGAATTCCTCCTCTGTATCAGCACAGGGGGCGGTCGGGTAGCCTAGTGGTTAAAGCGTTCGCTTGTCACTCTGAAGACCTGGGTTTGATTCCCGACATGGGTACAGTGTGTGAATCCCTTTTCTGGTGTCCCCCACCATGATATTTCTGGAATATTGCTAAAAGCAGCGTAAAACCATACTCACTCACTGTATCAGCACCTGTAGAAACAGGTAGTTGCTACAACATGTACAAGAAAATGAGCCAAGTCAAAGTCTTTGCACATTGGAAGATAACACTGAATTTGCCAATTATGTAATGACTGCTTGCATCCATTGTGTATTAATGTGTGAAGCCCATTTCTGGTGTCCCCAGCCGTGATGTTGCTGGAATATTGCAAAAAGCGGCATAAAACCATACTTACTAAGTCAGTTTCATCAGTTCTAAAAACAAGATCTGTACCTTTTTTCAGCTGCAAGGGCATCCTTCGAATGATGTCTTAGAAATGATTAAGGGGTGGTCGGGTAGGCTATTGGTTTAAGCGTTCGCTCGTCACGCCGAAGACCTGGGTTCGATTCCCGACATGGGTACAGTGTGTGAAGCCCATTTCTGGTGTCCCCCGCCGTGTTATTGCTGGAATATTGGAAAAAGCGGCATAAAACCATACTCTCTCACACACACATTGTGTATTAGTATGATTAACTGTAATGATGTTTTAGAAATGGTTAATTTTAACTGAACAAAGAATGCATTCCCCTTGCTGAATATTAATGACTTGTTGCAGTCACTGAACCTGAGAGAACATCAGACAGACGATCCAATACATCTGCTGACCGAAAAACGCACAAAATAGTACATTCCCCACCTAGAAAAGCTGAGCGAGACCCTCCCAGGAGAGTTGAAAGGTCACCGCCGCAAGAATCCCCACGGAGAATTGAGCGATCTCCACCAAGAGACCCGCCACAACGGAGAATTGAGCGATCACCTCCTCGGGACTCCCCCCGCAGAACTGAGAGATCACCGCCCCGCGAAGCCCCACGGGGGAGAGATCATTCCCCACCCAGGAGGAAGGACCCCTCACCCCCACGTCGGGACCAAGCCACCAGGAACATCTCCCCCGCCCACAAGGAGAACTCAGGGATAGCTGCAGAGGACTTCCTCTCTGTAAGTTGTCATGATATGGCTCATTGTTTTAACATGATCATCCCCATTACCCAATGCTTGTTGTGAGAGCCAACCTAAATGGCTGAAGGTGTGTCCCTGAACCATGAGGGCATAGATTGTTGTTCATGCTATCAACCACTGGTCTGCCTGTCCCAGGTTCAGAACAGATCCTGTCATAGAAGTAGAAATATTGCTAGCTTGGCATAAAACAGCCACTCACTCACATCAACATCAATGTCTTTTGGGAAATGTATTTTGTTGGCTAATCATGGTAACTGAGATTTAGAACAGGAAGAAACTAAATTGCTTCTAGCTCTAGCTCTAGCTCTAGCTCTAGCTCCAGATCCCTATCTGGCCATTTCAGCTGTGATCTATGACCCATGAAGATCTGGGTTAGATTTCATCTTCAGCAACCCATGCAATCATTGAATAATGGAATTGGGTCGTCAGGCTTGTTGAATTGGCTGATACATTTCATCACATCCCAACTGTGTAGGTCGATGCTCATGATGTCAATCACTGAATGTTTTAGTGTAGACTCAATTATTTACGGAGCGCCATCATATTGCTGCAATATTGCTGAGTACGGCGTTAAACAACAAACAAACAATCATCAGTCACACAGACCTTCTGACATGTCTTATTATTTTCTCTAAGAATTATTGTTTACGTTATCATGTTCATATGATCAAATCAATTTTGAGATTCGTTGTGTTGCTGTTGTCACAGAAAGCAGACTATGACAGGGGAGGTAACTCCAGCAACATGTCTGAGTCGGAGGTGCTGTCGTCGATACAGAAAGGCCATGATGCCATGATGAAGGTGATGACAAGTCGGGGGCGAAACCTGCAGATAGTCCGCGCCATGTGGACATCGGGAAACACCAAGGTGAATATCTTCTTGTGTTGTAGACCCATGAAGATCCGGGGTAGAATAGGTCTTCAGCAACCCATGCTTGCCGTAAAAGGTTACTATGCTTGTCGTAAGAGTCGACTTACTGGGTCGGGTGGTCAGGCTGGCTCACTTGGTTGATGCAGGTCATCATGTCCTTATTGCGTGGATCTATGCTTATGATTGCATTCACTGGATTGTCTGGTCCGAAATCGATTATTTACAGACCGCCATCATATAGCTGGAATATTGCTGAGTATGGCGTTAAACAGCAAAGAAACAAACAAACAAATCTTGTGTTGTATGTGTGAGGTCAAACAAGGATTGCACAGGACTTGATGTATACCAGTAACAAGTGTTAAGTGTTAAGTGTGTAATGTTTGTGTATTGGTTGAAGTACACCCTTGAACACTTGGAGCATGACCAAGGAATTATGGAGCCTGTCACAAATGAGTCATGAGTTAGTTGTGTAAGCTTCATGCCTATTGTGAGCAGGATAATTATTAACTCTAAATTTCAAGTATGTTGTCTTTGTGTTTAACTGTTTTGGATTACAGGGAAGAAAAGTAAGTGTGGTGTATGGTTGTCATGACAATGTATTGTTTTATTTTCACTTCAGCCATTCTCATGGATTACACAAAAAGTGAAAATGTCAAAGACCTGAATCAGTCTGACATGACCTGATATAACTGCCACATTTTCAAAGAAGCTTCAAAACCCACTCACTCACTCACTCACTCACTCACTCACTCACTCACTCACTCACTCACTCACTCACTCACTTGTTCATATGATTTTAGAAGAGCAGTCTGACATGACCCGATATAACTGCCACATTTTCAAAGAAGCTTCAAAACCTACTCACTCACTCACTCACTCACTCACTCACTCACTCACTCACTTGTTCATATGATTTCAGAAGAGCAGTCTGACATGACCTGATATAACTGCCACATTTTCAAAGAAGCTTCAAAACCTACTCACTCACTCACTCACTCACTCACTCACTCACTCACTCACTCCATCACTCACTCCATCATTCACTCACTCACATGTTCATATCACTTTAGAAGAGCTAAATGTACATATGCAGATATGGAAAGTTCTTCCACTGGCTGTCTGAACCTGTATTGATGGTATTCTATCCACTGGCTGTCTGAACCTGTATTGATGGTATTCTATCCACTGGCTGTCTGAACCTGTATTGATGGTATTGTATCCACTGGCTGTCTGAACCTGTATTGATGGTATTGTATCCACTGGCTGTCTGAACCTGTATTGATGGTATTGTATCCACTGGCTGTCTGAACCTGTATTGATGGTATTGTATCCACTGGCTGTCTGAACCTGTATTGATGGTATTGTATCCACTGGCTGTTTGACCCTGTATTGATGGTATTGTATCCACTGGCTGTTTGACCCTGTATTGATGGTATTGTATCCACTGGCTGTCTGAACCTGTATTGATGGTATTGTATCCACTGGCTGTCTGAACCTGTATTGATGGTATTGTATCTGTCTTGTCACAGACTGCCATTGACTCCGCTCTGAGTATGAAAGATCCAGCCGTGATGATCGACATCCTCAATGTTCTCAACACCAAGACGTGAGTATCACCACCATCTTATCATGTTGGGGGGCATGGGTTGCAGAGTTGCGTCCCTTAGACACACCAGAAACCTATGATACTAGATTCACCCTGATTATATTTCAAGGTTTGTCAGCACCATTCCCATGTTTTCGCAAAGTGGTAAATATCTGAGACCTGCATCACTTCAGGTTTTCTCCCACATCAAGCTGGCATACCGTGATATAACTGAAGTTCTGTTCAAAGCAGTGTTAAACCAACCTCACTCACTAACTCCCTCACTATCATTGTTTAACTATTTCTATCCATCCTCAGGGCTAAGTTTAGGCCGATTTTAGCAACTAGTACAGAAATCTCCCTCTATAAGTGTGTTGTGAAATTTCCATTTATTCAACAACTTTGTTTGTTATTCATTTTCTGGTTACAGAAATATTACATGATGTGATATACGACAAAGTCTTTTAAAGGGTTTTTAGCTCTCGTGACGTATTTGTGTATGATTTCCCTGCAGGTCTTTGTGGAACCTGGATCTGTGCTCCACCCTCCTGCCTCATCTCAAAGATATGCTCAACAGCAAATATGAAAGGTGGGCCCATCACTTCTCCTCCCAACATGAAGCCCATTTCTAGTGTCCCCGACCAGATGGTGTTGGAATATTGTTAAGAAAGACACTCATCCCAAACAACTCCCTGCTTGAATGGACCCGTGAAGATTCCGGGGTAGAATAGGTCATCAGCAACCCATGCTTGCCGTAAAAGGCGACTATGCTTGTCGTAAAAGGCGACTATGCTTGTCGTAAAAGGCGACTAATGGGATCGGGTGGTCAGGCTCGCTGACTTGGTTGATACATGTCATCGATCCCAATTGCATGGATCAATGCTCATGATATCAATCACTGGATTGTCTGGTCCAGACTCGATTATTTACAGACCGCCGTCATATAGCTGGAATATTGCTGAGTGCGGCGTTAAACAACAAACCAAACCAAACCAACCCTGCTTGAATGAGACAAAATGTGGGTGATAAAATCAGATCTTTTCCACCAATACAATACCCCTCTGCTTGAATATCTGGAAGATACTCCACTGGAGGCTGTAGCAAGTGAACCCAGACTGACAACTCAATATAGGAAGCATTGGTTCTTGAGCCAGTCAGATATCGGCTGTCTGGGATGATTCAGTTTCCATTCTAAGGAAGAAAATCCACACACATGACAAATATTACGTTGATACTACACAATTCTATGATTTCCTTTATTGTTTTCCAACTGTGGATAGACGTTCATGTTCAGTTCAGACATGCTGAAGTCAGTTATGCTGCTCTGAATGCCTTGCTTATTGAGAATTTAGAAGCATTGATGCTGATTGGCCGATAGAAAGTCCACCTGATGTGAGGGCATTGGGGTAGCCTGGTCGTAAAAGCGTTCACTCATCACGCCGAAGACCCGGGAACGATTCCCCACATGGGTACGATGTGTGAAGCCCATTTCCGGTGTCCCCCACCATGATATTGCTGGAATATTGCGGAAAGCAGCGTAAAACCATACTCATTCACTCCAATGACAGGTTTGTCAGATGTTTTGCAGAGAGGTAGTACAAGATGTGGTTGTAGTGATTCCTTCATAATGTCGGAACTCGCCAACATAATTTCATCTGCCATTTACCATATATTTGATGGTGTTGAGGTCGGGAAACCTGAGTGTGATGTTCTATTTTCCAGCTATGTACTTACAACAGCTACGTCTATCAAAATGATCCTGCGGAACATGGGCCCCGTGATAAAGGCCAACATGACAGCACCCCCTAGTATAGGTGTGGACATCTCCAGGGAAGAGAGGTAAGAATAGCCAGGCAATAGTCAGACTCTCTGTTTGACACAGGGGCGGTGGCCAACATGACAGCACCCCCTAGTATAGGTGTGGACATCTCTAGGGAAGAGAGGTAAGAATAGCCAGGCATCAGTCAGACTCCCTGTTTGACACAGGGGCGGTGGCCAACATGACAGCACCCCCTAGTATAGGTGTGGACATCTCCAGGGAAGAGAGGTAAGAATAGCCAGGCATCAGTCAGACTCTCTGTTTGACACAGGGGCGTCGGCCAACATGACAGCACCCCCAAGTATAGGTGTGGACATCTCTAGGGAAGAGAGGTAAGAATAGCCAGGCATCAGTCAGACTCTCTGTTTGACACAGGGGCGGTGGCCAACATGACAGCACCCCCTAGTACAGGTGTGGACATCTCTAGGGAAGAGAGGTAAGAATAGCCAGGCATCAGTCAGACTCTCTGTTTGACACAGGGGCGGTGGCCAACATGACAGCACCCCCTAGTACAGGTGTGGACATCTCTAGGGAAGAGAGGTAAGAATAGCCAGGCATCAGTCAGACTCTCTGTTTGACACAGGGGCGGTGGCCAACATGACAGCACCCCCTAGTATAGGTGTGGACATCTCTAGGGAAGAGAGGTAAGAATAGCCAGGCATCAGTCAGACTCTCTGTTTGACACTAGGGTGGTGGGGTAGCCTAGTGGTTAAAGCGTTCGCTCATCATGCCAAAGGTCTGGAGTTAGATGTACAATGCCATAATATTGCTGGAAAATTGTTAAAAGTGGGCGTAAAAACAAACTCACTCACTCTGTTTAACACAGAAAACGTGTTCAGTAACTTGACATTAATGAAATGCATACATTAATATGACAAACAACATACAGTGGTGATAATATCAACCACCAGATTGTCTGGTCTAAACTCGATTATTTACAAGTCAACATCAGCTGGAACATTGCGGAGTGGGGCATCAGGGATTTCTCTCAAATTTCAAACTAATGTCCTTGGCAGGCAAATGGATAAAATATGGTGATATTGTTCAAAATTGGAATTTTTACTTGTTCTTATTTTCAAATATTCTGAGGTATTGGGACATTTATAGTTCAAATTTGAGACCGCCTCCGTGGTCTAGTGGTAGAGCGTCCGCCTGGAGAGCGGAAGGTCCGGGGTTCGATCCCCGGCCGTGTCATACCAAAAGACGTTAAAAGATGGTACTTGTTATTACCCTGTCTGGCGCTCAGCATTAAGGGGCTAAAACAAGGACTGGTCGGCTCGGAGTCAGTATACTGTGTCTGAGTGGGGTATTCATGTTAAACTGCGGCATGGTATCTCCGTGAGCTAGCACTATAAATCGGCATCAGTCCGGACTAATACAAGCAGCCACACAAACACACACAAGTACATGCACGTCATTATATAAGTGCAATAATCTTCGACGCGACGTTAAACCCCATTTCACCTCACCTCAAATTTGAATTTTTTACTGTCATTTGCTGCTGACTTGGGGCCAAATACACCCTGAGCAGCTCTAGTTAGACTTTAAGAACAAACAAACAAATCAGTGTTGAAATGTGAGTGTATGTGTTGACAGGCACCAGAAGTGTCACACCTGCTACATGGCACTGATGGACATCCGTCTGCTGCTGGAGAAGAGGCAGGGACTGGCCGGCAAGCTTGGCAGCACCTTCAAGCAAGTGATGCTTCTCATGGGCACCCTGGACTGATGGCAGTAGACCTGCAGGGACACGGCGTCAACATCAAGAGTGTTCACCAGTGCAAGAGTGTTCACCAGTGACAGATGTGGGCTGGAAGATGGGGGAGGGAGGGCTGGTGTCTTCAGCTTGACTAGACAGTGACTGCGGCTTGACTAGACTAGACAGTGGCTGGAAATTAACTGGATAGTGTCTGAACATTAACTGGATAGAGTGTGCAGCTTAACTGGACAGTGTCTGATTCATCATTGCTGAATGGCTTAAGATACTATAGGGGAAGATATACATATAAGACAAGCCTGTTTTCTGGAATCTGTATAATTGTCAAGTACTCTGGATCCATGGCAACAAGATGTCCATTGTCTGGGATCAGTGGGCTTGACGGTCCTTATGGATCCGTGGCAACAAGATGTCCACAGTGTGGGGATAAGTGGGCTTGACGGTCCTCATGGATCCATGGCAACAAGATGTCCATTGTCTGGGATCAGTTGGCTTGACGGTCCTCATGGATCCGTGGCAACAAGATGTCCATTGTCTGGGATCAGTGGGCTTGACGGTTCTCATGGATCCCTGGCAACAAGATGTCCATTGTCTGGGATCAGTGGGCTTGACGGTCCTCAAGGATCCCTGGCAACAAGATGTCCATTGTATGGGATCAATGGGCTTGACGGTCCTCATGGATCCGTGGCAACAAGATGATCATTGTATGGGATCAGTGGGCTTGACGGTCCTCATGGATCCGTGGCAACAAGATGTCCACAGTGTGGGGATAAGTGGGCTTGACGGTCCTCATGGATCAATGGCAACAAGATGTCTACAGTCAGGTTGACTCAGCTGGATGTTGTTGTGATGAGACAACTACTGCATTGGTTGATGGTTGATGCTTGAATCTGAATGAAGTAAGAATTCCAGATCAAAAGACAAAGCAACAATGTTTATGACCTCACACAAATTTATGACCTTCAGATATGATGCATCTATGTGAAGCTGTATTGGTCCAGGTCTGTGAATCTGTGCTCTAAATGACACCATGCCATGATGGGAGTCTCCAGTCCTGGTGTTTCTGTGTCTCTGACTGATGCATCAAAGGGTGACAAGTCTCTTTCCAGTCAGTCAAGCAAGCATGTGACCTTTGTGTGCCGTGACTCCTGTCTGTGTTCCAGTGTTCATGTGGCCCAGCATTTGTACGTCCTTCCAACAACCTCACACCCCTCAATACCAATCATTGACTGAGCTGTACACAGACTGGAAGAACTTACTTTCCAGATTGAGGGGTAGCTGGTAGTAATTGGTGATTGATATATAATGGCCATGTTACACTGCTTGTGAAATAAGATTATGAAATTCATTTCACAAACATAACATTATTATTTGTATAAGAGAGGTATGAGGTGAGCTACTGATTGAACAGGTTATAAAGTTTATAACCTGTTTTTGTTTTGAGTGAATCAATTAAGTGCTTAAGTGTTTCAGTGTTGATGAAAATGAAAATGCCATTTCTTTTCCCCAGTTTGTATATACTGATAGATTGCGTTCATGAATGGTTGCTTGGCATGTGAACCCATTTTAGTTTGGTAGTTGCTGAATCCACAAAAATTAGCAAAATTAGAACATGGATATAGCACTGTAAGTTGTCCAGAAACAATTTCTTGACTGTATTACTCTACCATGGTGACTGATTTGGTAAACTTACCTAAACGTCAATATTAACTTAAGTGAGTAACAAACTTGCAATGATTAAGTTGTCAGTCAGTCAGCATCATGGGTGAATCAAAAACCTCTTTGTCACATGACACTTTCTAACAAATTAACACAACAGGGAAAAGAGTAAAGACCAAAAATGAAGGACATGATTTTGGAAGACTCTTCCTGGATGTAACAAGTTTCTGATGTCCCTTGGAGTTGGTTGCAAGCCTGTTTTACTGCACTGGATGATGAATATGATGAGACAGTCAACTGTGCTTTATTGTCAAGAGCTGTGATGGATGTATGGACAGTTATACCACAGCCTCGCATGTTAAACACGCAATTGTTATATTTTTTATTGAGTAGTTTATTCCAATGTATGATGACTCTTGACATCTGATTAGTTGAAGAGGTCCACACTTATGCTTACAAATACCAGTAATTATGCAAGTTCAGTAAATATGGTCAGCTACTAAAACCTATTATTGTGTGTCTCAATACAAGATCTCAGAATACACAAGCATCTACTCCCCATTACACAATACCGTTATGTCAGGATGTAACACATGTTATTTACCCACAGGACAAGTATTTATGTACATATGTTATTAAGGGGTTTATTACCACATGTTTTCAGGAAGGGATGTACGGTGGTATTCTTACTCACCTGATGATGTCATCATTCTCTGGAATAGTCCTATATTTCCTGGAACTTTTGTATGTATCAGGGGCGATGGAGTAACCTTGTGGTTTAAGCATTTGCTCACGCTGAAGACCTGGGTTCGATTCCCCACATGGGTACAATGTGTGAAGCTCATTTCTGGTGTCCCCTGCTGTGATATTGCTGGAAGCCCAGATCAGGAACTCATTCTGTGTGTATCATCCTACATGAGAGTCCCTTATCAATATTGCTTAATAAAGATATTGCGATGCTGTGGTTTGACGATATGATATGAACTGCAAAAAATGAATATTTTTAATTTGATTCAAGTTGTTCAAAAACCATTTTGTTTCTCTGCAAACTTTAAGGTGTACTCCACTCAAACTTTACAGGGATATTCTGAGTCGCCATTTGAAGACAGCGGGTGACTAATAGCTTGGATATGTTGTCAGTCTAGTAGTATATGATAATGTCAATGAGCTTATACAGTTTTAACTTGGAGTAAGTAAAGACATCAAAACACACATTTAAATAAGTTACTGGCCTTTGAGTTATAAAACAGTATGAAATATATCAGTATCCCTGTCTGAGGTTGAGTTGTGTAAATGAAACTGTCATTAATTAGTACCCTGCACAAAGAGCTGGAACATTGGCCCACTATGAGGTCAATATATGGACAGTCATGTTTATTGATAAACAGAACATGCTGAATCTGAGGTCACACATTTTTTATTTGTTTTATGGATCCGCTAACAGTAAATTTTGTTGAAATAGGGAATTTTTTTTTTTTAATTTGCTCTTTCTTTTATCCCGCCGAAAAGCTGACAACATATTGCACCAAGACCTATCTTCTAAACAAGGTCCCCTTGAGTTGAGATATATATAACTTGGGATTCAAAATAAAGTTTGTTGTTGTTCCTGAAATTGATAGGATGCATAGATGCACAACAGTGTTCCCGCTTGGTTCGTCAGGTCTTAAAGCAACAGCTGTGTTGCAGGCTCTCCTCCCACAGTGAACCACTTTATATTTTTTTTACCAGCCAACCGGTACAGAAGGAGAAGAAAGAATAAATTGAATTGCTTTTTTTTCTCTCTTTTGGCACCTACTGACAAGTGTTGTCCTGTAAAAATCCTTAAGGCAAGTAAACAGACGTGTGACCTTAATGGTCAGTGTTAGGGTAACACCCCAGAAGTGAAATATGATACGCTATCTCATCTTTTTTATGTGTCCATTCGGAGTGTACAGACAATCAATTAGATTTCAGGAAGAGGGGAAAGACTACAAAAACATTAAATATACTGTCCACTTCCAATCCATGATTCATAATGTCAGCAGTCTACTTGTCCATATGAAATTACAAATCACATTGATTTGACCCAGTGTGGAGTGACCTATGCAAGATGTTTCAACTTGAACATGATCGGCACAAGTACTTCATTTTCTTCACTTCTATCAGCCAGTATGTATTTGGGTACAAGAGTGTTTGACATTATTGGTGCGACTGTTTCAAAACATGAGTCTTATTTCCTACTGTTTCATGTGTCCCATTGACACCTGTGTCAGGTACTTGCAGTGTCGGACACATTGACACCTGTGTCAGGTGCTTGCAGTGTCGGACACATTGACACCTGTGTCAGGTGCTTGCAGTGTCGGACACATTGACACCTGTGTCAGGTGCTTGCAGTGTCAGACACATTGACACCTGTGTCAGGTGCTTGCAGTGTCGGACACATTGACACCTGTGTCAAGTACTTGCAGTGTCTGACACATTGACACCTGTGTAAGGTACTTCCAGTGTTGGACACATTGACACCCGTGTCAGGTGCTTGCAGTATCGGACACATTGACACCTGTGTCAGGCACTTGCAATGTCAGACACATTGGCACCTGTGTCAGTTACTTGGAGCTGCAGACACATTGACACCTGTGTCAGGTACTTGCAATGTTGGACACATTGACACCTGTGTCAGTTACTTGGAGATGCAGACACATTGACACCTGTGTCAGTTACTTGCAATGTCGGACACATTGACACCTTTGTCAGTTACATGTAGCTGCAGACACATTGACACCTGTGTCAGGTACTTGCAATGTCGGACACATTGACACCTGTGTCAGGTACTTGGAGCTGCAGACACATTGACACCTGTGTCAGGTACTTGGAGCCGCAGACACATTGATACCTGTGTCAGTTACTTGGAGCTGCAGACACATTGAAATCTGTGTCAGTTACTTGCAATGTCAGACACATTGACACCTGTGTCAGTTACTTGGAGCTGCAGACACATTGACATCTGTGTCAGGCACTTGCAATGTCAGACACATTGACACCTGTGTCAGTTACTTGGAGCTGCAGACACATTGACATCTGTGTCAGGCACTTTGAGCCGCAGACACATTGACACCTGTGTCAGTTACTTGGAGCTGCAGACACATTGACACCTGTGTCAGGTACTTGCAATGTCGGACACATTGACACCTGTGTCAGTTACTTGCAATGTCGGACACATTGACACCTGTGTCAGTTACTTGCAATGTAGGACACATTGACACCTGTGTCATTTACTTGGAGTTGCAGACACATTGAAGGTAGTTTTCGTTCTCATCAATATTTCTGAAATCTTGAATGACATATACCCGGTTTGTATTTTCTCACTGATGCTCTTCTGTGTTCGGGAATTTCGAACAATGTGGTATTTTGGGGGCTGTTAATATTTTCAAACTCAAAAAATCTTAGAAATCAGTCTTTATTTTTCGGAGGTGCTGATCTGAAAACAATGTCTAATCAACTATTGTGGGAAAATGTTCATTGAGTTTCTGCAACATTATGAGTTGAGAGTCGGTTTATCACACATTTATTGATGCTGTTGATTGCAAAAGCAGGCACCATGGCAATCAAGATAGTGTAAGAGTTGCCTAGTAACCATTCCATTATTTAATTAGGATGTCATAACTTTGAAAGCCGTGTATTCACACTCATTTTGAATGGTTCTAACTTTCTTTCCTCATCACTTGTGTCAAGAGGCTCTGAAGCTTCATCACTTGTGTCAAGAGGCTCTGAGACTTCATCACTTGTGTCAAGAGGCTCTGAAGCTTCATCACTTGTGTCAAGAGGCTCTGAGACTTCATCACTTGTGTCAAGAGGCTCTGAGGCTTCATCACTTAGGTCAAGAGGCTCTGAGACTTCATCACTTGAATTCCTCAATATTTCATTCCATGCATTTGATATTTACTTCAAGACAAATCTGTGAAAGAATCTCCCTAATTCTCCTTCTAAAGATGAACATGAATGTATTTTCTTTCTAAAAGAATTAACATTCTTGAAATATGTAATTCATTTTCAGGATTTTGCCGTTCATTTGTTGGGCATGCCCCAGTCGTCTAAGGCACTGCATTTTGCTGTGCAGAGTTGTCTTTCTGTGATCGTGGGTTTGAATCCTGGTTCGCCCCGATTATGTTGCTAGGTTTGTCAGCACCAAACTCGTGTTCGTGGGTTTCAGCAAAGTGCATCACTTCAGGCTTTCCTCCTACATTAAGCTGACACGCCGTGATATAACTGGAATACTGTTCAAAGCAACGTTAAACCCAACTCACTCACTCACTGTTGTTCATTTTACAAAGGGAAGGGTTTTGTTTTATTGATACACATACATGGTATGAGAATTAATTTTCTGATCACTTCAACCAAATACACCTGTAGAGCTTTACTTTGCCAAATGTGATATATTTCTGGTAACAGCCAAAGACTTCTAACACATATAGCCAATCATATAATATGTCATTCAGAGTATGGGCATTAGCATGGAATTGATTTTTTTGGCAAAACTATTTGTTTGTAAGATTTACAGAATCTTCTTCGTGGTTTCAAAATGCTACCTTCCAAATGACCACTTCTCTATTCTTACATTAAGTCTTTGTTTTCTGATTAATATTGACTTGTCACTATATATCTTATTCCAAGGACAGTTCAAAATTAGTTATGTTCAAAGTTTATGATGCACCTTAGAGCAGCTGTATATATGGTGAAGTTTAGCTGTAAATATGGTGAAGCTGATATGCAGTAAATATGGTGAAGTTAAGCTGTAATTATGGTGAAGTTAAGCTGTAATTATGGTGAAGTTAATATGCCTTAAATATGGTGATGTTATTCACCAGTAAATATGGTGAAATTAATATTCAGTTAATATGGTGATGTTATTCACCAGTAAATATTGTGAAGTAGTAAATATAGTGAAGTTATTCTCAAATAAGTATGGTGAAGTTTGGGATTAAGGCCTGGGTTCATAGTGACCGATGATCAGTTGCATCAGGTGTTGACTATCTGATTCAAGAGTGACTTTTCCAATGTGTAAAGTTCATTTCTGGTGTCCCCGCCGTGATATTGTTGGAATATTGCTAAAAGTGGCGTAAAACCATACTCACTCACTCACTCTAAACCAACTTCATATGTAAAATTATTGCTCACCTTGAACATGTTAAAGAAGTAAGGTTCTTCACAAACTGATTGGATGAACATTACAGGTGTCGGTGAGTAGTCTAGTGGTTACAGCACTCACTGGGGGCACTGAGAAGTGTTGGGTTTGTATCCCCACATGATACAATTTGTGAAGCCTGTCCTCTGCTTAAAATCATCTCAGTCCCTCACTCACTCACTGAAGACAATGAAGTTGAATGTTCCATTGTTAGTGCCTTCACACAACTGTGATAACATCATAGTCAACATCATTGTGTCTCTCGTCCTTCACCACTCTCACAGCGTGGACATGCATCACATTAACTTACTTCTGTATATGAAGGAGATTATTTAATATATTTCTTGCTGTCAAATCAAGTCAGTTGTGTGTATTAATGTTTATTCTGTAACATGGGAGTTTAATGCATTATTAACTCTGAAAACATGATGTAAATTCAATGTTTTTCTTGTTAAATAATCATTCTGGTTTAATTTAAGGAAATGTTTCCGATAGGTGTAGAGTTCCTATGCCTGGTGTGAATATTCTGTAAGCGTTGGATATGAGTCCTGGAGAGGCTCCACACTGAATGGAGGTAATACAAGCATCTTGTGACGATGATAACAACAAGCCAGTGATAAGTGTTCTTTCACACAAGTAGCTGGGCGGACACATGAAAAGTTAGGAACATATATATACTCACTGCCAAACGAAACCCGAACCATAGAAATATTTTGAGAAGTGATGTTTCCAATGTGCACCAGACCCGTGAAGATTCCGGCGTAGAATAGGTCTTCAGCAACCCATGCTTGCCGTAAAAGGTGACTATGCTTGTCATAAAAGGCGACTAACAGGATCAGGCGGTCAGGCTCGCTGACTTGGTTGATGCATGTCATCGATCCCAATTGTGTGGATCGATGCTCATGATATTAATCACTGGATTGTCTGGTCCAGACCCGATTATTTACAGACCGCCATCATATAGCTGTAATATTGCTGAGTGCGGCGTTCAACAAACCAACCAACCAATGTTTCACCAATTAAAACTAACAATCAGTCAAGTGTTACAGCAGAGTGACTTTATTTTTATCACAGTATGCTGCACGTGGTTTTCAAACTTTACATACTAATCCTGCAGGAGACATATGGTGTGATTTGATCTATGACGTCACATGTGATGCGTTCACGAGCGTTGGTTCACACAAGATAACAGTATGTTCATTCGTGCATCAGACAAATGTAATATTTGTCTAATATGAGTAAGACTTCATATTTTAACCAACATGTATGGCATTCGTGTTTCTCTTGGCAGTGAGTATATACACACTTGACTTTCATCTGCAGTAAGAAATAAACCTTGGGTTCATGGACTGAGAAAGTTTGTCAGTCCAGGTACAACTGGTTATTATCTTGCTGAAGGTGAAATGACACTCATCAAAGTTAAAAAATGGATCAAAAGAATTTTCTTGTTGGTCAAATTCCAAAGGGCACAGCTAGACATTTTGCGAGTGGCCAGTAGCACACTTGAAAGTATATACATTTCTACCCTTGATATTTGGTTGAAGGAATGTAGATATTTTGGCAGCAATTTACAGTTACCTTTGATAGAACAAGATTTTGGAAATATTTGAGAACTAAGTTATATATATCAATACCAACTTGAGGAAGGGCATCATAAAACTGATCCCTGTTTGAAAAAAATACCTACCTGCCACAATGAAATGTGAGTTGACTAACCAATGTAACCTGAACGATGGCCTTACTACATGTTCCTCAGCTAAATGATCAAGGGCTATTTCTTCATGACTGTATCCTTGTGGTCCTGTGATTCTGTGTGACCACCTGTGGTTCTGTGTGATCCGCTGTGACAACCTGTTATCCTGTGTGACCACCTGTGATCTGCTGTGACCACCTGTGATCCTGTGACCACTTGTGATCCTGTGCGACCACCTGTAATCTTCTCTGACCACCTGTGATTCTGTGTGATCCACTGTGACCACCTGTGATCCGCTGTGACCACCTGTGATCCGCTGTGACCACCTGTGATCCTGTGTGACCACTCGTGATCCACTGTGACCACCTGTGATCCTGTGTGACCTCCTGTGATCAGCTGTGACCACCTGTGATCCACTGTGACCACCTGTGATCCGCTGTGACCACCTGTGATCCACTGTGACCACCTGTGATCCTGTGTGACCACCTATGATCCTCCGTGACCACCTGTGATCCACTGTGACCACCTGTGATCCGCTGTGACCACCTGTGATCCGCTGTGACCACTTATGATCCTCTGTGACCACCTGTGATCCTCTGTGACCACCTGTGATCCGCTGTGACCACCTGTGATCCTCTGTGACCACCTGTGATCCTGTGTGATCCGCTGTGACCACCTATAATCCACTGTGACCACCTGTGATCCGCTGTGACCACCTGTGATCCGTTGTGATCCGCTGTGTTCCTCTGTGACCACCTGTATCATATCACCTTGTGTTGATTTCACTGTCAAACATGTCACCATGGCTGCCACCCAGTTTTCATACATTTGTGTTACCTGAAGCTTTGAACAACTTGTACAGCAATAAATTATATCACTGGACTTGTTCTGTGTTGTGTTCAATATCAGTAAGCAGAACCTTCATATGTAAAACCATGTCCCGTTTGACAGCCGGCCACAAACCCATCCTCACTGGTGGGACGAGAGACGATGCACTGATGCATCAGTGGAACCCCAATTTTTACTTTTCAGTATGAGTAACGATCACAATCGCACAGCAAGTAAGAAGTATTGATTCTTACCATATATGTATTCTTTAATAAGTGTTACACCAAACACTAATTACCAGTGAAAATGAGTAGTGAAAAGGAAAATACTTTCATCCACTGTCACTGCCAGCTGTAAATCGTTAGAGTGCCAGGGATTTGGCCATCCTGTCTATGAAACGGGGCTTATGGACCACAGATAAGAGCATGTGCAAGTATTGTAATACGTATCGGATCGCACAGTGGGTGTATCATCCCAGCCCAGATCCCTGCTCACTCCACAGATGATAATCACTAGCCAATGCAACACACTCACTCAGTCTTAATCTACTCATTCACTAATTCATCTGGGCATACACTTAATAATCCACTGACAATGAAAATCAACCAAACCAGACAGCTGTCATATAGCAGGAATATTGCTGAGTATGTCGTGAAACAAACAAACAAACCCTGGACAAATGCAAAATCACCAGTACTCATCCATGCACACACTTACTTAATCCATGGACAACAAATACTTACCAATCAGTGCAACACACTCACCCAGTACTCATCAACTCACTAACTCACTGTCCATTCCTGTACCACAAGATCAGTTTGGAAGTATCTGGTATGCATATCTGCAAAGGAGGAAGTTTCAGTCATTGGAGAATAGACCCACATCAGTGGCTGGTCGGCTGATCCAGGGGAGATAACTCTTGGAGGTATAATTCCCTCTGCAGGTTGTTTTTTTTCCAAAAGTGAAAAGACACTTTGGTTTTCAGTTCATAGTTTTAAGTAATATTCACCATATGACAGTTTTTAATATTATTTTGCTGATGTATGTTGATCTTTTAACTTAATATTTGGTTTTGTTATTTTTCAAGTCGGAGGACCAACACATTTCAGCATGCAGAGGCTCGGTGAAGTTCTATTTTCACTCACTAAGTTTTCTGATTATATCAACGACATCTACAAAATTAGCAATTAATCCTTTCAAGGACATTTCCACAAAACTTGAGGATGAGGATTTTTCCAACATCTGGTTGATGAATGTTTACAGTTTGTTCTAAAAACGTTTCATATGATACATGATCAAGAATAGAAATAAGCCTATTATACTATATATAGTAAGATATGTTATGGTGCATTGTACATGCTGAAAGAAAATGCTGAATGCAGATTGTGTGGACACCATACCTGACAAGTCAGAATAAAACTAGGATGGGAAAGACTGGCAAAGCCAAGACGAGGGTGTGTCATCATTGTGTGGATCCCTGCGCTCATATATATATGTCCCAGGCCTGACAACCTACAGTCCACAGTGACACTGCTGAAGAAACGTATACTGTTCACTCACTCATTGTCAGATCTTCATGGGGGGCACGCGTGGCCCAATCATCTAAGGCGCCGCGATTCGCTGTGCAGAGTTTCGTCCCTTTGGCACGCCAAAAACCTATGATTGTGGGTTCGAATCCCGGTTCACCCCGATTATGTTTCTAGGTCTGTCAGATCCATTCCCGTGCTCGTGGGTTTCACCGAAGTGGTAAACATCGGAGACCTGCATCACTTCGGGCTTTCCTCCCACATTAAGCTGACACGCCGCGATATAACTGGAATACTGTTAAAAGCGGCATCAACCCAACTCACTCACTCACTAACTCAGATCTTCATGTACACCATGCTTGTCGCCTCATGGGATTCATGAAACGAACAGGTCCCCAGTACACCATGCTTGTCACCTCATGGGATTCATGGACCGAAAAGGTACCCAGTACATCATGCTTGTCAACTCATGGGATTCATGGACAGAATAGGTCCCCAGTACACCATGCTTGTCACATGGGATTCATGGACAGAAAAGGTACCCAGTACACCATGCTAGTCACCTCATGGGATTCATGGCCAGAACAGGTCCCCAGTACACCATGCTTGTCACCTCATTGGATTCATGGCCAGAACAGGTCCCCAGTACACCATGCTTGTCACCTCATGGGATTCATGGACAGAACAGATACCCAGTACACCATGCTTGTCACCTCATGGGATTCATTGACAGAACAGGTCCCCAGTTCACCATGTTTGTCACCTCATGGGATTCATGGACAGAACAGGTCCCCAGTACACCATGTTTGTCACCTCATGGGATTCATGGACAGAATAGGTACCCAGTACACCATGCTTGTCAACTCATGGGATTCATGGACAGAACAGGTCCCCAGTACACCATGCTTGTCACCTCATGGGATTCATGGACAGAATAGGTCCCCAGTAGACCATGCTTGTCACCTCATAGGATTCATTGACAGAACAGGTCCCCAGTTCACCATGTTTGTCACCTCATGGGATTCATGGACAGAATAGGTCCCCAGTAGACCATGCTTGTCACCTCATAGGATTCATTGACAGAACAGGTCCCCAGTTCACCATGCTTGTCACCTCATGGGATTCATGGACAGAACAGGTCCCCAGGACACCATGCTTGTCACCTCATGGGATTCATGGACAGAACAGGTCCCCAGTATACCATGCTTGTCACCTGGTTTTCCCAGTTTGTTACATGATCTAAAATATAAGTACTTGTATTTGAAGGCCAGTGTCTCAGGAAGCTGCAGGTTGAACGATCATTTGTCAACGCCTGCACGTTGCTGAAGCATATAAAGTGATGCAGATTTGGATCTGGGATCTATTAGGAAATCAATGTGGAACAGACAGCAGCTCTGGGTAGTGACACATCAACAGCAACATAGGGAGCAGCACAAGGATATGGTTACCACAGCTTACTCGGTGTATGACTATATTTATTCTCATTCACTCACTCACACAAAAACAGGTGTTGTTGCCACTGCGTATTTTTCTCTTCCAAAAGAGCGAGTAATTGCCGCTTTTAGCAATATTTCAGCAATATCACGGCAGGGGACACCGGAAAATGGGCTTCACAAATTGTTCACAATAGGGAATCGAACCCGGGTCTTCGACCTTATGAGCCAATGCTTAAACAACTAGGCTACCCCACCACCCTCTTCCAAAAGAATCATTAGTATAACAAACACATTTTTTTCTTTCATATTTATTTTCAATCTATATTCCATGATAAATATACCTGCATACAGAACCCATTAGCCACAGCGGTCTTCAGACAAGTCTTGTCACAGTACAGACGGGCGCCACACCCTTGCAAGGGAGGTGGAGGCCACCCATCAATGCAGGGAGACCATCCCTCACCTATTTTGGGATGGGATGACCACCCAAGTGACTGTGGCACCCCCAAACACTGTGTTGAGTCAGGGTGACTATCCCTACCCTGCCAGGAGGGTGTGGCACCTTCTGGTAACCTCCACACCCTGGCAAAGAGAGACAACCCCGGCCTCAGTCGGAAGAATATAGAGGATTTCTATTTGAAGGATACTATTTAATCAATGACTAACATCAGCATGACAATGAAGTAGAAATTTAATAAAAATATACACTGAGTGAACAACGAGCTGAGTTGGCAACTTTACGCTGAATGTGTGAATTCTTCACACGATATGTAACTAACATCAAAATTGTGTAAAATATGACAGTGTTCAGGTGGGATCTTTGCGACATAAAAAATTAACATAGTTCTTAAAATACTGACAAAAACATCACATGATAATTAGAAGCTCCTAAACCATACTCATGTAAAAGCAGTCAAGTTTTGTATTTTCTAAGACAAGGTTATGATAAATCTCTTGTTGACAGCAAAAGCAAATTCAAACTCAGACAAAATCTTTTTACAACACATGGAATGTCAGATTTGAAATGATTTAAAAACATGATTCATTCACTGTCGATAGTGTCAGTGTTTTCTGACTCAAGCTATCACTACAAAGTTAGCGAAAGACATTTCTAGGCTTTTCAAGGGAGGCAACTCAAACCTCAAGGGAGGCAACTCAAACCAACAGAAGCAATAATACTTTGTAGTTCTACAACAATGCTTGCATTGTTTGACATTGCAGTGTCCACTGACTATCAGCACACAAAATATTGCACAAGTCCTTCAGTTGTTGAAACCATACCTCCACATAGTCACCATGTAGTCTATCCTTAATAAAGTGGGATTGAAAATTGTTCACAAACATTAAACAATCAAAACTTTTCCAATTCAATATTCACCCAAAACAGGCTCTTTTTCGTCTATTATATTTTTATAACTGATTACCATATTTCTGTTAGTATGCACTACAATCCTCAAGGATGCTGCAATATTTCTCATCTTACTAAATCCTCATTCCCAGGGAGTATAACAAAATATGTCCTTTCAATCGTTTCTGTTCAGCATTGTGCATAAATGATTAAATCATTAATTAAAGCTATGCCGACTGTTTCTACTCCATTGAATCACCACAAAGTCCTATGATAGAGGCATTGTTTTAACAGCTGATAGAGTTAAGTAGATCTTCATAAACAATCTAATACATGTACATAAAAAATCTCATGAAATGACTGAGAAACAAATATAATGATTGCAATGAAAAATATAAAACATATCAACACAATCTGATTCTATGAAAATATATTAGAACCATATTCTTAATGAACTAGCGTCATACGACTGTCATCGGACATTCATCCCTACAAGGCTACAGCTGGCTTACATCCTCTATGATAGCGATCCCTGTGTTTCCTTTCCACGGCTGTGATTAATCCTTAATACTTATTACTGTTGTATACACTTTGTGCGTACATTTTTAAAATATTATTTAATACTTTTACACATATTGATTTCATAATGCCCTAAGATATTCTGATCAACATGAAGCAAATTCCATGTCACCTGAAGCTTTATCAGCTGTAGTAGTAGTAGCAGTAGTAGTAGTGGTAGTAGTAGTAGTAGTAGTAGTGGTAGTAACAGAAGCAAATTCCATGTCACCCAAAGCTTTATCTGTAGTAGTAGTAGTAGTAGTAGTAGTGTGTGTGTGTGTATTGTGGTTTTACGCTGCTTTTAGCAATATTGAAGCAATATCACGGTGGAGGACACCAGGAATGGGCTTCACACATTGTACCAATGTCAAGAATCGAACCCTGGTCTTCGGCGTGATGAGCGAACGCTTTAACCACTAGGCTACCCAACAACCCCAGTAGTTGTAGTAGTAGTAGTAGTAGTAGTAGTAGTAGTAGTAGTAGTAGAAGAATTTAGAGGCTTCGGGTGCACTTATCCAGACTTCCCGATACGATAACTTCAACATACCAATAATGATATCTTTTTTCGAACCGCTACACATGTATCGAAGAAAGAACATAAAGTGTGTATTATTTTTCCTTGACATAAATATTTCAACGCTGACGAGGAGCAACCTTGCAAACGCAACCAACTACACGTCAAAGTGGAACTGGCAGTTTTAAGTGCAGTTTGAGATGTCGTGGGTACAAAAGTTGATGCACATCGTGAACGAATCATGCAGAAATGCACAATGACAGTGGAATAGTTCATGTTGACGGGAGATTTCAGCTAGTTGGAGGAAAGTGTTAGTGGGAAATAATACACGGTTAGAACAATAGAGTGACGCAACAAGAAGTGTTCATGAGTTCGAACAAGTCTAAATCAGCATAAATGATGAGTATTAATGTCCTGCTGTTTACACTGTGCTGTAGAACTTGTTTACCTATAACACTGCATGTTAGATAGAGGGATGTTGAATTTAATTTAATCATGCGCAAAAGAACAGAAAAGATAAATGATGAAACAATTTTGAATAATATTTTGTTGTATCACAACCAGCACAATCCATCCCATTTAGTGTATCGTGATGGAAGTATGTTTCATTGTGAACTGTTCCAAGCCGTGTGAGCCAATGAATGAGTTGAGTGAGAGCAAGCATCTCGATTCATCGCGAAGTATTCTAAGCCGCGTCGGCCAATACATGAGCTAGAACAAGCATCTCAATTCATTGGGAACTGTTCCAAGCCATGGCAGACAATGTGTGAGTGAGAGCAAGAATCTCGATTCAACACGAAGTGTTCCAAGCCATGAACGAGAGAAAAAAGTATAACAATAACATCAACAGGGAACGAGAGAACAATAAGGCACTGATAGGTATAGAGTTCATGGCTGCACAGACAGAAGGGGAAATATGGATCACGACACACGGCAACATAGTCTCATCCCACTCTATGCTGCATACAGCAATGGCATGTTTTCCATCCCATGAAATAAAACATGTTGGAAATAACCATTATGGGATTTAATTGACTTTCTAAAATTGGAATAAAGTCTACTTTCTTTCTTTTGTTGTTTACTTTTTTTTCATTTATAATTGTCATATTTGACAAAGCTCTGTGATCATCACAACTGCATGTGAGATAGCTGATACAATACTTCTGATAACAGACTTACGATAGTTGCAACTGTTTCACTTTAACACAGACTTACGACAATCAGAATTGTTTTAACTTAGGACATATATATGACAATGCAAATGCTTTTCGTTGACACATATATATATATATGAATCAGAAGTGCTTCACCTAAACACATATATATATATGAATCAGAAGTGCTTCACCTAAACACATATATATGAATCATGTAAATTGCTTTACCTTAACATATATATATGAATCAGAACTGCTTTACGGAATGCTTCTGATGAATTAACTACTACTCCTTAAAGCCTTACAATTTAGACATCTTCTATATCTCACAACAAGCTTACAATAGTCCAAAAGCGCAAAAATGACTTTGTTAAATGGGGCCAAGAACCAATACCAAAGTGAGAGAGAAATCATTGAATCACAATGTCCGATAAACCATAACATGCTGACTCACTAGTATCAGCTGACTCTAGCTGACCGCCCACCAGCTGCAGGGCCTCACGATCCACAGATTGCACACGTCCGTATTGTAAAATGTTATGCAGATGTTAGAATAGAATATGTGACACAACTGACTACATGTGTGACACATTAATATGTCACACATCGCGCAATGTCACACTGGACGTCACAAGAGATCTTGGTTTATCATTACATCTTGTTTATCATATTCTAAGCCAATACTGGTAATAATTTAGGATACGGGAAATTAAATAATAAACAAAAATAGTTATACTAAGTTCATTTAAAAACAAGAACTATCTATTTCTCAAAAGCAATGAAAGCTTTCAGAACTAAAGAAACAATCTGACCTAATCTTTCACCTAGAACATAAGTATAAAAAACATAGACTTGTCCAAAAGGATAATGACAAAATATAAAAGTAATATTTCAATAAACATATATTTTTGTAAAACTGAAAACTATAGAAACATGTCAAAATCTAAGAAATGCAAAAATATTTGACTTAAGCAATTTCTTGCTTATAATGAATAATGGATTATTCCACACAATGCTTTGATGATAATGCTTGTCAGAAGACTAGAACCAAGTTCGCCATGAGGGTTTGTGTTCACTACCTAATAACAGTGCAATTTCAATTTTACAGGTTGCACAAGTGCATGTAAACTTGCTGGAAGTGTGCAACTTTAAAAACAGGTTGCACCAGGTGTAACTACATCCATAAGCATAGGAATAATGCTCAAGTCCATGTGCTAGAACCATCTAATGTGAAGTTATCATAGTGCAACATTTACAACAATGTTGCACATTGTCTAAGTCGGGAATACAGTCACATAACTCCCTACAATCAAACAGTATAGGGCTTTTGCTGAGTGCTAACTAACCTCTAGGAATATCAGCCTAAGTTTCATATATCCCCTCAGTTGATTATCAACCAACATTCCTTGGAATAGTTTGTTTTGATATCTATCAAAACAACATCAACTGGAGTGAGCCATACTCAGCTGCATAAATAAATAACATATAAGGCCAGACCAACTTAATAACTTGCTACAGATCCACCCGTCAGATCCCCCCCCCCTTCATCCCCTCATAGGGAATAACCATGTCTAGTAATATGTGTCTAGCATCTCAAAATTGACATTTTGACTATATATACCTGAAATGTTAAGTTTGCTTTTTCACATAAAATATGAAACCCCAAAGGGGCATGAAATGTGCACAACGCATAACTACATATTGTCATCTAGGTTTTTTAAAATTTTAATTTTAATTTCCACTCCTGCCTTCATGTATGTTAAGGGTGGAAGTATGAACTAGTTATCAAGTTTGTCTGACCTGTGGACAATCACACAGCAGTACATGGAGAGACTGCAGTTGTCACGGCACAAATCAGTCAGGTTCAAGTAAAACCTTGGACGATGAATTCCTTTCATAACAATGTGGCATCAAATATTTCATAATAGGTACTCCGAAAAAATATTTTCATAAATATATGATATGAAAGTAACTGTAACCTCTATTCTTGTGTTGAGATTCAGAAAGTAACACACTGAATTCGGACACTGACTATTATATGAGGGTAAGTGAGTTGGGTTTAACGCCGCTTTTAACAGTATTCCAGTTATATCATGGCGTGTCAGCTTAATGTGGGAGGAAAGCCCAGAGTGATGCAGGTATTTGACGTTTACAACTTTGGTGGAACCCACGAGCACGGGTATGGTGCTGACAAACCTAGAAACAAAATCAGGGCAAATCGGGATTCGAACCCACAATCTGCACAGCGAAGTACATCACCTTACATGACAGGGCCACCCGTGGCCACATACGAGGGTAGGACAAACTACACACATTATTCTTTCAAGCTAACAATATGATATCATTCGTATTTAAAAATCAACATTACTTTGAAATGATACAATGATTATTTTCATACCAAAATACTTCCAACACATGGTACCAATACTTACATACGAGACCTATACTCTGAACATAACAACCAAATAGAAACCCACACTGTGTCACTCCAGATATAGCATCAAGTGCTAGGCACAGGTTTTCAAGCTGATTTACCTCTATTTTCTTACAAAAATAATGTGTCATAATCAGGCAAAACAAATAAACACTGTGGTGAGGTTTACCCAACAACTTTCTTATTAAGCTCATGACTCACACATCCCTGATTTGTTCCTTACAAAACTAATTCGATAATAAAATACTCAAACACCCAACATTTAATTTTTAAGTCTATTTTTTCTGCCATATTTGTAATTGTATTAACAGGGAAAAGAACAGAGGTTCTCAGGAGCCACATATCATTGCAAGTACCTAGACTGCCGTGCTAGCGCCTATATCTTCTACTATCATAGGGGCACAACCGGTGATGGATAAGGGGATTAAATCAAATTTTGTTGAATGAGGTCCACCAAGAATTGGCTTTACAATTACAACCATATTGGAACCAAACCCAGGAATTTTAGTGTAGTGTGACAGGCCGACATGTGTACCTTTAATCCTCTGGACTGCCTTTAAGCCAAACAAGCTCTGGGGTAACAGGCATTGGCATGCTAGATCTACTGTGTACCTTGTGACTGTAGATGGCCCAGTTTCAACAGCCTACACGAGCATATTGAATTACCTCCATGGAATGTGCCCCAGTCTTCTCCTATCAAAGTAATGTGCCCCAGTCTTCTCCTATCAAAGTACTGTGCCCCAGTCTTCATATATCAAATAAATGTGCCCCAGTCTTACCTCAAAATAATGTGCCCCAGTCTTCTCTCAAAATAATGTGCCCCAGTCTTCATATATTAAAGTAATGTGCCCCAGTTTTCTTATATCAAAGTAATGTGCCCCAGTCTTCTCATATCAAAGTACTGTGCCCCTGTCTTCTCCTATCAAAGTAATGTGCCCCAGTCTTCATATATCAAATAAATGTGCCCCAGTCTTACCTCAAAATAATGTGCCCCAGTCTTCATATATTAAAGTAATGTGCCCCAGTTTTCTTATATCAAAGTAATGTGCCCCAGTCTTCTCATATCAAAGTAATGTGCCCCAGTCTTCATATATTAAAGTAATGTGCCCCAGTTTTCTTATATCAAAGTAATGTGCCCCAGTCTTCTCATATGAAAGTAATGTGTCCCAGTCTTCTCATATCAAAGTAATGTGCCCCAGTCTTCATATATTAAAGTAATGTGCCCCAGTTTTCTTATATCAAAGTAATGTGCCCCAGTCTTCATATATCAAAGTAATGTGCCCCAGTCTTCTTATATTAAAGTAATGTGCCCTACTGGCATTGACGGTTTTTTGTGTTTTTTCAAAACATAATCTTAAAAACTAAAAAATTGATACTGATAATGGCTGGACTTTGGCTACATTATTGAGCAAATAACATTTCATTCTGTTAACAAAATTCATTTATGAAAATAACTTATAACAATATGCACCTCTTAACAAGCATACAATATCATTTCATAACATGCATTTTTATTGTTATGCCCTCAAAATCCACCAGAACTTACTGACCAAACATAACACAGTGTAATAAATATCAACATTTTCTAGTCATGTTATACATTCATCATTACAACATATTGTCATATTTTTTTTAGTGGAAAGTCATATTATACTACTCAAATAAAATTAAGAACAATTCTTTCAAATTACTATAAATGAATCAGTCATGCTAGAACAGATTAAAAACTATAGTAATATAAAAGAATCGGGTGGTCCTTAACTTTTTTTTAGTAGTATATGTATCTCATATGTAACAGTACCATTGAATACACACAGTAACAACATTCACGCATGGAATGTCTCTGAAACTGAGATGGAAGTATGGCCACAGACATAAAAATGAGATTCCTTACAAGTTGCATTTCTTGCAACTGGTCATTAACGTACCATTATCCAAACAAGTAGACGACAGTTTCCGCTCTGCTGAAATTCCATGTACATACATTGTGGTTGTTAAATCACCGGTAATTAAATAGCTTGATAATTACACCCACGTCCAGGTCACATGACCTTTTCCGCACACAACCTTTGGTTCCACAGTTTTTACAACAAATATTTTTCAAAAAATATTCTATACTTTCAGGCTATTTATATCAATGCTCTATTTTCGTCAATATTTTCATAAAAATTGACATTAAAAATAGAATAAGTTAGTCTCCCGCGGAGGTCTATGTTACAATATGTACAGGCTTGGTTTCCATGGCGATCGCTGAGCGTCAATCACTGCTGCTCGTTTCTGAGGGGCTCGGATTGGAACCTCGATCCTGCTGTCGGCTCTGGAAGGCAAAAGAAAATCGGTTAGAAAATGACAGAATCATATTTCTTTAACAGTTTCAAACATAGAAAAATATGCATTTGCAACTGTTGTGGAACAGTGACTGTGGGTATGGTGCTGACAAACAATAAGGGTTGCAACTCTGCAGTCAAATGCAATCTGTTGATGACTGGGACCCCCTGAATAGTTAGGCCTAGGCTTGAGGGGTGCCCCTGTATATAGTTAAGGTTAGGCTTGAGGGGTGCCCCTGTATATAGTTGAGGCTAGGCTTGAGGGGTGCCCCCAGGAATATAGTTGAGTGTAGGCTTGAGGGGTGCCCTCCAATATAGTTGAGAAGGCTTGAGGGGAGCCCCCAGGTATATGGTAGAGTGTAGGCTTCAGGGGTGCCCCTGTTTATAGTTGAGTCTAGGCTTGAGGGGTGCCCCCAGGTATATAGTTGAGTGTAGGCTTGTGGGGTGCCCCCATGTATATGGTTGAGGTTAGGCTTCAGGGGTGCCCCTGTATATAGTTGAGGCTAGGCTTGAGGGGTGCCCCTGTATAAAGTTGAGGCTAGGCTTGAGGGGTGCCCCCAGGAATATAGTTGAGGCTAGGCTTGAGGGGTGCCCCTGTATATAATTGAGATGAGGCTTGTGGGGTGCCCCCAGGTATATAGTTGCGTGTAGGCTCCAGGGGTGCCCCTGTATATAATTGAGGCTAGGCTTGAGGGGTGCCCCCAGGTATATAGTTGAGGCTAGGCTTGAGGGGTGCCCCCAGGTATATAGTTGAGGCTAGGCTTGAGGGGTGCCCCCAGGTATATAGTTGAGTGTAGGCTTGTGGGGTGCCCCCAGGAATATAGTTGAGTGTAGGCTTGAGGGGTGCCCCTGTATAATTGAGATGAGGCTTGTGGGGTGCCCCCAGGTATATAGTTGAGTGTAGGCTTGTAGGGTGCCGCCCAATATAGTTGAGGCTAGGCTTGAGGGGTGCCTCCATGTTTATAGTTGAGTTTAGGTTTGAGGGGTGCCTCCCCAATATAGTTGAGAAGAATATTTATACATGTATGCAGACTGCTTGTAGTAGTTTTCTGCTGACCTTCAGTCTATAAGTACATAAGTAACATTTTAAATGAGATCCCCAAAGTCAAGTGAGGTGAGGTAAAATGGGGTGTAATGTCACGTTCAGGATTACTGCACTTACATAGCGATGTGCATGCATGTGTGGGTGTGTGGCTGCTTGTACTGGTCCGGATTAAAGTGCAAGCCCACTGAGATACCATGCTGCAGCCTACAATGGATACCCCACTCAGACACAGTATAGTGACTGAAGTCAAGTGAATCAGTGACATATTCTCTCCCCCACAAATTCCCAACCTGACATTCACGTAGGGTGATCCAGCTGCTTAAAGTCATCAATGCACAGACGAGTGTTTTGTCTACCCACACTATCGACTGTAGGGGAGACAACTTGAGTAGTCCAAATTCCATAGTAGTTCAAATTACGTGGGAGTGACCTTGCAACTTACAACCGTGTCAAGGTCTCCAAACTATTATGCCATTTCATATATCTGTCATTATTCAATCTTGACACATTCTGAAGCCAAAATATGGGATTGGCTGTGAAGGAGACACACTTCTGAACATAAGATGAACACTAACAACAAAGGCAACAGAACGAAGACGGAGCCATGATCAATAGACAGAGGTGGGAGAATACCAGCACTTAAACCCACCAAGGTCACCCCGTTGTGTTCACATGCATCATACGCATTTACTCACAAACTGCATTATAAACAATCGGTTAACCATGCAGACAAGCATGATAAATCACATAGGAAACAGTCAAAGCATCAAAAAGCCATTAAAATAATTCATCTTTTCAATAAGGATTCTACTACAGCGCCTCCCAACACCACAAAGAGAACTACAGCACACCTTGTCCTTTAAGCCTATCATATCAATCAGTCAACGACAATCTTCTCTTCACCGCCAATCCATGGAACACAATTGCTGCTACTGTGCCATCAGACACTCCCGAATTCCTTGGTCAACCACAGGTACCCTCTTAGACGCCTCAGGTGCACGCACCAACAACGTAACTTGCCCCCAAGCTGTTTTTGTCAACAGGTTCACCGATAGTTTTACAAGCATTAAAGCTGCTCCCCGGCCTGTCAAGAGAGAAAACCACATTTGCCATACTTCCTGCTTTTTATCATTGCAAGGAATTGTGGGAATGTGGGGAATGTCACAATCTGCGATCGCTGTGCCACCCACAAGTCGCCACCATCATCGTCACAACATTTCTGGGGATGAGCCCGGACTAGAAAATTAAATATTGGGTCTCCTAACATCCACAGTCCTTGCCAAGCTGGATTACAAATTAGAAAAACATCAGCTGTTACTTGTATGTTACGCTGAAACTGTTGTCCAAACCATCAGCTGAAAGCATTTGAGCCAAAAGACTACACACAGATATGTTTAAGTTGATACAAAGATAAAACGATTAATGATTGAATTCTTAGACCTCATGGTAAACCTCGTCTAAACCATTGCCAAGTCACACATTCTTGTAAATGCATAGGTCTCAAATTTTCAAAACCATACATATATTTATGTTATTCATAAAATGAATTTTATATGTAAGTGACCGAGTGAGTGAATACGGTTTCATGTTACTTTAGCAATAGTCCAGCAATACCATAGTGTGGGACACCAGAAATGGGTTTCACATATTGCATCCATGTCTGGATGCAACTCTGCACAGCAAATTATGGCATCTTGGACGATCGAGTAGGCGTCTCATTATGTAGAGACCGTCTCAATTTCCGACAAGGCCCTAATTACAAAACGATGACCTTCACTGAATCCTTGACTCCTGGTTCTTCTTTCTGAATACTTTTGTATCAGATCTCAGACAGTTTGTGTGAGCACCATCATAATGAAAAGAAGAAACAGATTCATGAAAGGGTATTACAAGATTTCATGACAAAACCTCAAGTGAAGCCTAATTTCATGAAGCTAATTTCCACTGAATAATTGAACCAGGGAACTATAACCAATTATTTTCCATATTTAACACACATTAAAACATGTCTCATTACCCATGCTTTTCACTACTCGTCTGTTGTTAACTAAACGAAGCCAATCCAAAATGTCCCTGAAGCAACTTCGCTATAAATTACAGGCAATAAATATGACAGGTTTGAAAATGACCCACAATTGACCTCAAGGATATATACCTCCAAACTACAGTGATATTCTTCAATACATCTTCAAACTATAGTGATAGTCTTCAAGACAATTCACCTACTTAACAGTAAATGTATCCAATAGCAGGTTACTCCAACAATTGAGAACCATCCTGAATAAGAAAGGTGTGGCCATGACAGCCACCTTGTTGCTGAGATGTGTAAATTTCATCAACTGGTTTAAGACAAAAAAACTTTAAAATGATAAAACTTATGATCTCTGAAAAAATGTCAGTAGGATTAAAGAGAAAAACAATTCGAAAGGCACTTGTGTTGTTTCTATGACTGAAACATTCAGATATCTTCATAACAATTCAGACAACCACAAAAATGAATATTTTAATTATCCAACTGTTAAAAGTTTGGCCGTGGGATTGAAAACCAAATGATAATCTAAACATCGTTACATAATTAATCTGAGAGTTTCACCAGTAGACAGCAGGGGTGCAGCTGAACATTATCACCATTTCTTATGTCTATTGAAGCACAATTAACTCTCTAAAGAATACCTAGTTGATTATAAATCTAGTTCAGAAATGAAATGGCATAATGTATATTTAAGTAAAAGCAGTGTAGAAACTAGGGCTGGCTATCAATATCGATCTTTGAGATTGATAATCATTTACTAAATATTGATCAATTATAGGTATATACCAGAAAAGTAACTTTGAGCAAATATGCTATAAGCTCAGAGACAAAACATATTTCATGTCACTAGTGAGTGGTGACTTTTATGCATGGATTACTTTGTGGACATTTAAGATATCACAAAATTAGTTGCTTTCCATCTTTGGCAATGGACACAACAAGTCTGCTTTCGTAAATTAAAACTTTATTTCATCACAATAGTTTATGTAAGATATTATCGATGACACAATTTTCATATCGATAATTGTTAATTTTTCTTCACATCAACGATAATTCCAGTTATCAATCTTTTTAGACAGCCCCAGTACAAACCTACTGTAAGTTCCATGATTTACTACAGGAAACACCAGGTCATCAGTACCACAAGCCTCAGGTGTGGCCCTGTTGCCATGGTGGCCAGGGAAGAAGTGTTTGTATCTAGCTGTATACAAAGACATCAAAGACCCCCTGTCAAGCTGACTGTCAATCAAACATACCTACTGTGGTAGAGCACCCTCTACAGGGGGCATGGCGTCCTTTAAGGGGGATCCAGTGTCAAGGCTAGATCTAGACATTGTAATTAGTACCAGGAATGAAACTGAGACATTATCTTAATGTAATGAGGGTCATCGTTAACTCCTGGGGTGATGAACATCATCTGGGTTAGTAATGTTGTGTTGAATGACTTGAGCCCAGTGCTGCATACAGCCCTGATTAGATCATACTCATATTTATTTGATCAAATTAAGCATTTCCTTTTATGAAAAATGGGTTAGTAGCAAAATGAATAAATGACTTTTTATATTGATAAATAGATAATTTAAACCTAAATTAGTGTATATGACAGGCTGTTAAGTATTTGGATACATTTAGTATATTTAGACTATATTTGAATGAAAAAAACGGCACCCTGCAGTCAAGCTATTAAATTAAATGTTGGTGTATAAAATGTGACCAAAATGTTGGTCATTGAGTATTGGCCCAGGTCTTCAGAATAGAACGCTTGACTAATGGAGGGGTTTGGAACAATAACTTTTTTAAATTAAGACAACAATAAGACAGCAATACCAATTCTTACAAACCAGGAATCACTTTGTTGTGGTCCAATCATATTTTCAATCTAATCATCATGAGTACATGTTAGAGATGGGCCG